ATGCATTGCAGGGGACTGGACTGGATGGCACTTGGGGACCCTTCCAACCCTGAAATTCTATGATTCTGTGAAAATCTAATAGATGAAAACTTTGAATTTCAGAAAAAAACATGTTTTGGGGTAGCTTTTTTAAAAAAAGGTCATGCACACCGGTGAACATGTTTGTGGGTGGAGGAAATACTAATTTAGGGGAGGTGACAACGCACCATACCACACCACAGAAATATATCCCCTCAAACACCAGCCACTAATGTGAATAGGAAACCATCAAAAAAGATTTGGGAGGCATAAACGGAAAGTGCTTATGTACACAAAGACACACAAACATACACATGGAAAGAGCAGCCTAAGGCCCTCGTGTTGACACACCCCTTTTTCTAACCATTAGCTTTGTGCAAGCAAATCAGGATTAATATTGAACCAGGAACCTGGAGATTCACACCTTAACTGTGTTAGGTATTTTTATTATCCATATACCCAGCAGAGGGCAGCCTTAGATCCAAAAGCCTGTCCTGAGCTCACTGCTTCTCAAACATTTTGAAACAGGACCACTTGTCCACTTAAACTAAACCCCCTTTCAAGTCCTCTGCAGCAGAAAACGCAAGAACAGATCAGCCAGCAAGTTTATATTTTATGTTTCATTTTTAATGTCAATATATGCATAAGCACCCAATTTAAACAGAGTACCATACAGGGAAGGAAAAGACAAGAGGGAGCGAGCCAGTCTTTTAAAGCGGCATCACAACCGCAATGGTTTTCTGTTGACTGGGTGAAAAGCCCAGGAAAAGGGGGGAGCCCCTCATTACATGACTGAACCAGGAGCACATTGGGAGCCAGACTTTTAGAAACACCACTCCAGCTGCATCTTGAAAACCTATCTCAAGATTAAAGTAGAAGTATGCTAAGAAGGTCCGCTCTCAAAACTTTGCAGTAATTCCCAATAATGCAACCTAAACATGTCCAGACTTGACCAAGGGGATTAAATGTCCAAGAACTCCACAATATCCTTCACCCAAGACGTACACAAATAACTTTTCCCTTTGATTTTTACATAGCCCAGCAGTGCAGAATTATTTAGAAAAATTGTGATTAAGGTGTCAATCATAGGTGTCTGTACTTAGAAACCAAGGCTCACCAAAATTAAGGGGATTTGTTCCTGAACAGACCTGTTTAATTTTGAGCATTAAACTAAGTCTTCAAGGCCCAAAATTGTCCCCAAATCACCAGCTTAAAAATACAATTTTCAGACTCACCCAGGGGATAGCCGAACCCACCTCTTCTCCAATAACTCCTCTTACGGTACAGCCTGGACTCTGGGATTCTTAAGCACAGGCCTAGGAATCTCCTTGCTCACTGACTCTCCCATTTCTGTCTATGGCTTGGCTTTATGCAGCAGAAATATCTGCAACACTATGGTGACCAATAGTTACCACAGTCACACAATCTCTCACTTGAATGTGTGAAACAATCTATACCCTATAGAAAATTTCCCACTTGAAAATGAGTTGCTGCCTTAGCTACTTACCTAGAAATTAAATTCTGCCTGAGATGCGCATTACTGGATCATTCGACTGAACAAAATGGCGGCTTCTGATGCTACATTCTCCTCTGCACCAGAGGACTGGAAAGCAGCCGATTTTCAAAAAAGGGATCTAGGCAATTACAGGCCTGTTTTGATGAAAAGCATTGTTTAAGGAAAGCTTTGGTGAAAAGTGCTAAGATAAAACGATCAAGCAGCAGCAACATGTTTTTCTGCAAAGTCCCAATCCGTCTCAATAACCTTTAAGAGTGTCAACAAGCATATGGATAAGATCAAACTGGTGGACACTCTTTAAAGGTAAAGGTAAAGGTACCCCTGCCCGTACGGGCCAGTCGTGTCCGACTCTAGGGTTGTGCGCCCATCTCACTTAAGAGGCCGGGGGCCAGCGCTGTCCGCAGACACTTCTGGGTCACGTGGCCAGCGTGACAAAGCTGCTCTGGCGAGCCAGCACCAGCGCAGCACACGGAAACGCCGTTTACCTTCCCGCTATAAAGCGGTACCTATTTATCTACTTGCACTTAGGGGTGCTTCTGAACTGCTAGGTGGGCAGGAGCTGGGACCGAAAGACGGGAGCTCACCCCGCCATGGGGATTCGAACTGCCAACCATGCGATCGGCAAGCCCTAGGCACTGAGGTTTTACCCACAGCGCCACCTGCGTCCCGGACACTCTTTACCTGGACTTTAAAGTGCTCCACTAAAGATTCCTGAGCGAATTTAAAAGTCACAGGATAAATATAGAAGTCCTCTTATGGATTGCTAACTAGTTAAATAACAGGAAGCAGGGAGTAGGAATAAATGCACACTTCTCAAAACAGAAGATAGAATTGGGGTTCAGGATCTGTATTGGGACTACATCTTTTGATGTGTTCATACTTTAAGAGATTAGCAGTGATGCACATGGAGCTAACCCCCACCCCGATTTTATACACAGAGAAGAGGAAGGGGGGGGAGGTCTGAGCTAGCAGTGAGACTAATCAGGAAAGGTATCTTGGGATTGTGGTGGAGAGTGCAATGGAAGTGTTGACTCAATATGCAGCTGCTATTGGCAAGACATCAAAAACAATCGATCTCATAATGCCTCTATAATATATTGTATGACTGAACAATAGCTATGTATATAGAATTCTGTTCACTATGGGTATGTTCACATTACCACTTACTTCATATCCAGTGCTAGTTTTTGAAGCTACATTCACAGGTCATTCACCACGATCCATATTGATCCTATTGTTTGACAAATAGTACCTCGGGTTAAGAATTTTGCTTCAGGATGAGAACAGAAATCGTGCTCTGGCGGCACGGCGGCAGCAGGAGGCCCCATTACCTAAAGTGGTGCTTCAGGTTAAGAACAGTTTCAGGTTAAGAACGGACCTCCAGAATGAATTAAGTACTTAACCCAAGGTACCACTGTATTCTCTGGTACTATTATAGACCAAGGTGCAGGGGGTTTTTTGGGGTGATGGTGGGGGCTTATGGGGCATTTTTGTGCCAGAACCTTGCGATCCACCAGCTAGAGTGGATTTGGGTCAGACCCAGCCCCTCAAATCCATAGCTGCTCCTTCTCACTCTAAAAACACACCCCATGCATCCATAGATCACACTCTCTCTCACTCATTGCTCATATACCTCCCTTTTTCTTACCTTCTTCTGGTAAGATCCATAGATCACACACACTCTCTCACTCATTGTTCATATACCTCCCTTTTCCTCACTTTCTTACCTTCTTCTGGTTCACTTTCCTGGGAGTAAGCCTCATTGAATACAGCAAGACTGACTTCTGAGCAAAAAGGCATATGGTTGTACTGCCAGTCACAATTGCTTTAGTAGGCTGGAAAATTCTCTAGCAGCTGTCAGATTTAAAATGCCAGCAGACTCAAAGAGCAAGACCTCTCCTGCTCTGAACAAGCATGTCAAACTGTAGTCAGCAGCTATTGTGTCCCTACAAGAAGCACCAAATGGTGAAGTCAGAGGAACAATCAAAGGACACAACTTTTGTGTTTTAATTTACTTTGATCAAGGTGTTTTATTGCATCTCAGAGGGTACACATGCACTGGGTTTTTCTCAAATCAAAATACAAAGAAAACCCACTTTGAAATTCTCTCTCTCTAACTCTCTGCCATTACAGTGTATGTTATCCCCACAATAAGTTCAGATACAACCACTTTTTAAAAATGGTACCATATATTGATTAAATAGTTAATTTGAAAGACTTAGGTGAACATCTTTCCAACCTAATATGCTTTTACAAAGAGCTGCCAAGCCACTTGTAACACTGATCAACAGTGACCTTATTAAGGAGTCAAAAATCTTAAGCCAAGCCATCAGCACAAACAGTATGAGAGAACAAACTAAAACGTTTAAAGGAACACAATTTTTTCTCTGTTTACAGTAAAGGGTGCAGTTTTCCAGTTTAGTGCAACCTCTAATCACAGACAGTACGGAAGATACACAGCGGTGTATGGGAATGGAAAAAACACCACTAGTCCAAGGCTTATACATAGAAGCACCAAACTAACTGATGTACATAAAAGCTAAATAAAAAATAAAATAAAAATTATTCATGATTTGCCAACAGATACACTGAGCGACCTAATTAACCTGACAATCCTTAAAATGTCTGCCCAGCTAGGATTTTTTCCCCCTCTTAGCAACATGGCAAGGAACTTGCCCTTTACTTATTTTCAGTGCATTTAAAATAAGAGCTGATAAATAAGCTGGTTTTAAAATGGGAAACAAAAATCCCTTAAATATTTTAAAATAAATTTGATAAGGTATGTTCATTATTTTTTTTTTGAAAAAAATTCTTTGCAAAGGAACTTGAAAGAAGATGTATTAAATGGGAGCTCTCTTTTATATTACTTTTTAAAATTATCTTTAACATGTACAGTGCCACAAAAATAAAACATATTCCACAACAAATTCAGAATCCTGCATTTGGGGGGGAAACGTTTTCCACACAAAAAGAGTTTGTAGGATTGAGAGTGTTTTTTCTTACTACCTTGGTATCATTACACTATTATTTTGTATAACAGATATACAAGAGAAACTGGACTTCAAAAGGGAAAAAATTTAGAAGGTTTGCCAAAGTTATTTACACGGAGACCTCCAGAAACACAGACACATCGCTCCAAATGGCTCACCACACAACAGCTGCATAATCTGCCCCTATTGGATAGGTTCAGAAAAGCACTAAGAAGGCATCAGAAACATACATCCATTGTTTAAAGTTGTAAAACACATAAATAATAACCCAAGTACACAAACTGAGAAAGAGAGAGAGAGAGAAGAGGGATAACAACTAAGATAGTACACATTCCTAATGTTCACTTTCACAGCTGTGCTACACGTTTTGGAAGTAGGAGAGAAATCTGTAAGCACTGGGTTTGGTAGTGGTGGCTCACTTGGACAACTCCGAGCAACAAAATTCTTGTTTGTAGATTCCAAGCTTGCATCTTCAGTTATCCTGACAGAAAACTACAGCTGTGGAGGTTGAGGGGAAGGGAGGGAGAGAGAGCAAAAGAGAAAAACTAAGCAACAAGCATCTGAATTAGTTTCATGATCTGGCATTACCAAGATACAAACATAATTTTTATTTGTATGCCACCTTTCCATAGTTCAAACCATGCTGAAGGTGGCTTACAACATGAAAAAATACATTTACAACATAACAAAAGTAGTCATAAACAATAAATAAAACATCAAAAAATACACAGCCAAACAGAATAATTTCCACATAAATCATTCTAAGATCTAAAATAAACAATGACTTGGGATGGAAGTAGAGAGACATGGGGGCACCCAAATGTTGGCATTGCACAAGGAACCAGTAATATTTGGAAGCCCACTGCTAAAACCTTCCAAACTTAAGAAAAATTAGTTATTTGACTTCAGTCACCTAAGCAAATGCCAGAAAAGCAAGTTCAAGTAAGTAAATAGGTCCAGCAATGCTATACCTTAAACAGTTCATAAGAAATCCTTGATGTTAAGATCCGCTAATGGGTCCTTTGATGGTGGTTTTTTGGGACTCTGAGTGGCAGGTGTAGGACTTGGAGAGAGCTTAACGGGTTTCCCATCAGTCAAGAAGAGCATGAAACAAACACACAAACAAAAAAGAGAGAGAAGAGAAGAGAAGAGAAGAGAAGAGAAGAGAAGAGAAGAGAAGAGAAGAGTATAAGGACAACGGTAAGATAAATATTAGGATTCACGTACGAACAAAATTAAGATGCAATAGATTGAAGATGAAAACCATTCCAGTGTTACACCTGTCCCACAGATGTAACTTACTTTAGACACATTTTAAGTTAAGCATATCTAGGGATGGAACACACTGTAGCAGGCATACTTCTGCACTTAAGTTGCGCTTCCTGCAGTCAGTACTGGCAGGTAAGTTTGAAGACAAATGAGGAGATAGTGGTTTATATCCAACAGAAGAAGTTTTCAGTAGTTTACATTTAATCCAGCCATTGGAACAGAGATCCTGCTTTAGTGCTCCCTTGTAATAGAAGTATAATCTAGGAGGGTGGCAGGGCCTTTTCCAACATGGCACCTGCTTCATGGAGCTCCCTGACCCAGAACGCTGTTTTGTTTAGAAAGGAACTTTATCTTCTCCAGTTTGATGATGTTGAGTACAAACTAATGCATTTTACTATTTATATATTTTTTACTTGATGATTTATCTACCTAACTTGTATTGAGGATAGCAACTACAATCACAAAAGAAAATGGATGCGATAAACCCATTTTCTTCTGCTAAAGGAAAGTGGCATGCAAGCATTTTGTATTACTGCAGAAATGCAACTGCTCTGCATGGAAGCCAAAATATATTGTAATACAGTCGTACCGTGGGGAGTCTTGGGAGTCGAATGTTCCGGCTCCCGAACGATCAAAACTCGGAAGTGAGTGTTCCAGTTTTTGAACTTTTTTTGGAAGCCAAATGTCCGACAAGGCTTCCCATTGACTGCAGGAGCTTCCTGCAGCCAATCAAGAAGCCGAGCTTTGGTTTCCGAATGTTTTAGAAGTTGAACGGACTTCCGGAATGGATTCCATTCGACTTCCAAGGTACGACAGTAATAATTTAAATGTTTAAAATACTCAAAGGAGTTTAAAAGGTAAATTGCTGAAAATACAGGAGAGGGTCACAGGTCAAAAGAGGAGACATAAAAGCTAAGCTGCTCAAAAAATAATAATAAAAAAAGACCTTCAAGAGAGAAATTGTTAGCCCTTACTTGTGCACCAGCTGCTCCAGCTGCTCCAAATGGCGGCCTCATCATAGGCTGTCCGTACATAACTGGCTGCTGTGGCATCATTGGGACACCTGATCCAGGAGGTTGCTGGGAAGTATTAAGAGAACAATGAATGATGCATGCAGTACAAACAAGGCAAGCTTGAGTCTTAGCTGACTGACAACATCTTGGCAAGACAGGTACTGCTAGCCTCCATCCTTTCAGGTATGCACAGTCCAATGAGTGTGCCAGATTTCCACTATACAAAAATCAAATCTCAACAACAACAATGCACACTTCAGGTAGGTTGTATGCCCTATTGCCAGTAGTTGTCAACTTTTTCAGACCTGGGACTCACCTTTAACCCAAGCATGCATTGTGGGACTTATTTTCTTCTTCTTCTTCTTCTTCTTCTTCTTCTTCTTCTTCTTCTTCTTCTTCTTCTACTACTATCTATCTGTATGGTGGTAGTGCTGCCACCTTAGATCAGGCTGTAATCCATTACTGAGTCCTAACCAACCAGATGAAGACCAACACCCTTTGTAATCTGTTCCCAGCAAACTCCTTATGCAGTGCACTGTGTATTGTGCAGTGACAAGCATAGAAATTGGTGTTCGGTGCATCAATTGGCATTAGATGTATCCTTTTTTAAAGGGAACGTGTTCCTGCTCTTCAAGGTTCAAATGATAAACTTCAGTGTGTGACAAATGTCTGATGAAAACTAAGAAGGCAGGACCGAGGAAATGTTATTATATTATATTAAGATTAAGGATGGGATTAAAAAGGAGGAAAAGGAATTGCTGGACAAACAAATTAAATCGGAATACAAAAGAGGGAGGTATGAGGAGGTCCGGGAAATAAGTAAATGTAAAAGTTGTGATGAAAAGACGGAATTGTTTTTAACTGTTTTTTCTTTTTTCTTTTTGTATCTTGTATGGTGTTTTTTTCTTTCTTTTTATTTCTAAATTTCTTTTTTATTAAGATGTTTTTTCATGTGAAATTCCAATAAATATCATTAAAAAAAAAAAAGATTCCTGGGGCAGAGCTTCAGAGTTCTGCATAGTTTTCTTGCTCCTTCCAGAAGCATGCAAAATATCCAAGTTAAGCAAGGTTACAAAAACGGTAATGTGGGCTGACTTCTGTTTTTCCTTCTGCTGAATGCTGACTTTTTTTTTTTAAAAAAAGGGCAAAATATACAAGCCTTGGCCATAAGCAACTTAAAAAGGAAGCAAAGGTTAAGTGGCAGGTGGTGGCAATCCTTCCTGTCATTGTTTTTTTTGTTTTGTTTTTTATGAAAATGACTGATCAAATGCAATCTCTATTATTAAATGTCGCTCACCATCCCAAATCCTGGTGCAGGCTGTGCAGGGGGGGCACCTGATGTAGGAGGGGCAGCACCTGCTGGAGCTCCAGATCCTGTCTAGAAACCAGAATAACAAACACCAGACACTGATTACAGATTATACAGATATGAACGCACGCACACACTCACTTCCAACATTAAGTCACTGTTCAACACTCGTTACAGAAGCCCATCCTGCCATTTCCACATCCTGCCAAAGTTAAATCAACACAGGACAGATTAATTGTATTAAAAGCTGTCATCCAGCAATTATCCTCCTCTTCCTTGTTAATTCGCCTTTCACGTAAGTCTCAAGGATTTACAGTTATACAATTAAAAAAAACCTAACATACAGTCATCAATTTAGTTTGTCGAATGTCACAAAGTTCTGGGTTTATTCAGAGCTACCTTTGAAAATATTCAACTTCTCTACGTTATTCACTTGTTTCTCAAGCAGACAGGCTCATAGCCAGATCCGAACACAGTGACTTTGGCCCCAGTTCCCACCTTGTGTGCAACCCCTTTCCACTAAACTGCCACAATCTAGAACTCTGAAACATGCTGGGTCTTGAACTGGCCATACTGTCGCCATGTGATGACAAGAGGTGCAAAATGTGGCACTAGGATACTGCAGCTAGGCATTTTGATCACACCATGCTTATCTTGTTTTTACTGCACTGGCTGCCAGTTCATTTCCTGGCTCAATTCAAGGTGCTTTATAGCCTTAAATGACTTGGGGGCAGGGGACCACAACAAACGGTTTCTCCCATATGTTCTTCCCCAGATCATCACTGGACACTCTGTTTCAGATTATGCAGCCCTGTGAGGCTAGTCAGGCAGTGGGCAGCAACCAGAGGCAGAGCTTTCTATGGAGTGGTGCCTACCCCACAGAATAAATTGAGATTTGCCAGGCCCTGTCTCTTTACTGTTTTAGAATATTGGCTGAATATTTTCTTGTTTAATTTGAAAGCTTTTATATTTCAGACTGCTGTCCCAAGGTGGTGGATTGTTTCACAACAACCAACAACACTATTAACAACAGTGATTTCAACAAATATTCTAGCTTCCCATGGTTTGTTAGCACTCTGGATTATTCTCTGAAGTAAGGTTGGGTATAGTGAACAAAAGCATTTATACTAAAGGTACAGGAGGCATAAATTGAAAACATGCTTTCATTCAAACACTAAGGAAGTGTTATGCTCCCGGAACAAATGATAAGATAACTACATAATTTAAACAATAGTAGGATGGGATATACATTTCCTAAACTTTCTAACGTTAGTGTAAACAGACTTCAGACAATCCAGCCCGTAATAATGGTTTTCTAGGGTGACAAAGCTCTTGCTTGTGGCAGAGTCTATTGAAACGGCTGATCAATTCATATGCATTTCACTAAAAATAAGAAGTATCAGCAACACTACATACCATTGGGCCACTTGGAGGAACGCCAGTTGACCATGTTGCAGGTGCTACTTTGGGTTGCCAATTGGCTCCTCCTGTCAACTTCCTCTCTCCTGCGTTCCACTGAAGATCTCCCCTAAAACAGACAATGATTTTGAATGCTAATCAATCAACCAACCCGCTAAGGGACAGAACTGGAAATAGTGCAATATTTTGGGCTGGAACAAAAGTAATGTTTAGATTTGCACTACTACTGGCTTTTAGATTACAAAATGAAATACAGGTATACCTCATTTTATTGTGCTTCACTTTGCATTTTATTGCAGATATTGCTCCTTAAAAGGAGACGGGTGCAGCTGTAGGCAGCCTGCCACTTCCAGTGGAAGGAAGCCTCCTGCTACCGCTGCCACTTTCTGGCCATGGGAGTGCAGCTGGCATAGTGCTGGAGTCAGGTTTCCCTCCCCCCCCCCTGCAGCCTTGGGGGCCTGGCTTAATAGACCACAGTGTAATGCAAGCATAACTTTTACCTGCACTGGGAAACAATTTTGTGTGTGTGTGACTCGCTTTATTACAATATTAGCTTTATTGTGGTGGTCTGGAACCAAACCCGCAACACCTCTGAGGTATGCCTGTACAATGTTCCTTAATCTTCAGTATGCAATGGAAAATACAGCAATTCATAAAGCTTTCACTTATGAAACTGTGGAGAGAAGTTCTAGCAGTCCATTCTGTCATAAGAGACCAGGTTTTTACTGACAGAACCATTCTATTTTTGTCATCTTTCCAAAGAATGGATTTAAAAGAATACATAACCAAGAGGAGTGTGAGGGGAGTGCACCGCCCCCAGCAGCGCAATCCCAGTAGGGTGCCATTGTGGCTGCCCCCCCCGGGCGCCCTGCCCCCGTGGCCGGCGTGCCCCACCCCCAGGACACGCGCCAGCCCTGCTCTCCGCTCCCCAGTGCCAGAGCATGAAGCTCCGCCACTGTTTATAGGGAAGCAGAAGCAGAAGTTTCATTAAAAATATTACTAATAAATAGAAGCACCACAAATGCAAAGTCAGTCAGTAAAAAGTACAGTATATTCATGTCTGGAATTTTGATTTTACTAGCTACTTACTTCTTTGATGTTGTACCAGAAATTCCAAGATCTGCAAAGATGGAAAGGTAATTTGAAAACAGTTTTGCCCAACTTGCATATAAAGATATCAACATCTATTTCAACAGTTCTTATAATGACCAAAATATGCCTGATCATTTGATACATAGGAACATGGTATAAGACAGCTTTATGAGTTGGAGAATTGGTTCAGTTGCCATCTAGCAGCAGTTCTGAGGAACCAGTGACTCTCTAGATCGAGGTTTGGACCACAATTTCCATCATCCCTGACCACTGGTCCTCCTAGCTTGTAGTACAAATACAGGTGGAGATGCACGTTTGAGAAACTCTCCTCTAGATGGTGTTGGACTCCCAACATTTCCAGTTATCATGACTAGTGGTCAGGAATGATTGGAAAGGGGATTCAACATTTGGAAGGCCACAGGTTCTCCATTCTTGACTTAATGAAACCACTGACTAATGAATGCAATTTTGAGCTCATTGAATCATTAAGGGTCAACAGACTTAAGCAGCATTTATTCAGCTATAAAAAAGTGACTGAAATGAAAATAACGCACAATATATCAAAAAGGTTTCTCACACTATTCAAGGACAGATGCAACACTGAGATGCAATTTCATAATCCTATCTGTTCTGGGCATCTTCATGCAAACACATGGCCTTTATTACTGTCATCTGAGTGTTAATCTCTGAAGCATAAGGTAAAGCCAGAAATCAATGCTTATTTTAGGTAGCATTTACTGGCCATCCATGAAACCACAAATTTAATTTTCTACTTCTCACTTTAAACGCTACTCTTAGGAATGTGAGTAATTTTATTTGAACTATTATTCTTCCATTTACTATCTAATTTTTTAAAAAATGTCTTCAAGTGATTTGCTTAACTTGTAGAATTGAGCCAACTCAGCAATATAAAAAGTGTTGTATATGCTTCAGTGTCACAAGTTCAGGACAAGAACAGGAATTTCCTGTCACACAGAAAATGAAAACCTCATCACTTTGTCTTCCTATAGGGGAAGAAACACATCCTTCTGCAATAACTATTGAAGAGATACACAACAGAGGCACACTGAGTGTAAATCATGTCCAACTGATTAGTATGATACACCATGGGTCACCGAAAAAAACAAAGCGAAACCCACTTCCAAGCACTGAAGTTTCCCAAACTTACTCCCTACTAAGTTTGCGAGAGAGGAATCAAGATCACTTCCAATGCCTTTGGTTGCAGCTGAAGTAGAAGAGGCGGCTATTCCTGAAGCAGAGAGCGGTTGACCAGATGGCACCATAGTTGGCATAAGGAGGTCACCTAAGCCATCAAACACTGTAGATTAAAAAAGAGCAGTAGTTTAGGGCACCAATCTTTTGTAAAGCATGGCCTGGGTTAACATGGGTCAAGGCAACTGACATCCAAAATGGTCAAACCATGAACTTCGTAACACATACAATCACTACAGATCTTAGTACCACCATCACATAGATTTAATGTTAATGTAATGCCAATGGAAGGCATGCATGCAAGCTATCTGGCTAACACACTGAATCTTACTCTAATCCTGTATATAATTTATTCTAATGAATAATCTGAAGAGATCCAGATAATGACTAGTATTTTACCTTGGAAACCTCTTAAGATGTAGAATACCCTGCATTTCAACACTGCTTAGCTTCCAATACCATTACCATGAATTCAGATGGAAAGAGAAATGAAGTTATGGGTTGTTGTTGTTTTAAAAAAAATCAAGACAAGACCACGTATTATTATACTACAAGAATCTTCTATGGGGTCTTTGTTACATTCTGAAATGTCAAACAGGGCGTCTGTCTGGACACTGTTTCCCCCCAGGATAGTCCTTGGGAGAGGTTAGGAGTAGGTCTCAGGATTGCACACTCCATCCCTTCATTTTTCCTTGTGGTGGGAAGAACAACTGAACTAGACAGTAGGCCTCTATTTGTGTATGAATTCAAGGTATCACAGTCCACTTGCCAATCAGCTTTCTAAGACCAGAAAAGAAAGCATGGAGTTAGGTAACTACTGAAATGAATTGTGATTGCTGCAGAATTGCAGATGTGGAAGGAATTGCCATCAGATAGTCTTTTCATAAACTACATTCAATAACTATGATATCCCTAAGTTTAATTCTCTGTAGCCAACTTTTTAATCTTTCTCCCTTCAAAAACATCTAAACTACCCCACATTTAGTTTTTACATATGGCGAAGAGAAAATTAGGGACACCATATGACAATGGTTTTATTGCTTCTGGCAGGCAAACATGGGAAGTTTCAGAATATCTCCTTGAAATTTCTCTATAACAAGTATTTTTGACCTCCAATTTCTATCTCAGCATACTGTATGGCAAACATCTGGCCAATTCTCCTTGGGATTGTCTAGGTAGTTCTTGTAACAGTACACATTAAGTGTGTCAGGAAGAATGGATAGTTGTGGGTGCAAAGAAAATTGGAAAACATAAAACCTGCTCAACATTAAACAAGGGTAAGAAAGCCTGAGAAGATAACTTGTAGTAAGAATTCCTGGGACAGAAGTATCAATAAGCCTATTGTGACGTCCATTGGAAAACTAACTGCACAGTAAGTTTTCCAAACCACAAAAGTATTTCATTTCTGACATCTACAAGCTAGGATAGTGGGTTATATTTTTTCCTTTAAAAGTTTTGCTTTAGAAGGTATCAGAAAGAATATAATATTGCCATGGATTGGCCTAACTTTTCCAGCTCAAATATCACATTTGGAAAAATATACCACAACCCAGAGGATCTCATCCCATCATACCTAATTAGGTAGCAATTTCTAAGCCAGACCAACATTACATGGTGAGTACACCTATTCACATCAGATGTGCATGCCAATGTTAGTAAGCCGACTTGCACTATGCTCCGACAAGCGATCAAATAAAGCAAAGCAATACTAAAATATTTTGTTTTTATTTATTCTGTTGCAGAACTCACCCAAATTGCAAATTTGTAGCAAGGCCCCAGCATGAAAGTATAGAATGAAAGAGATACAAACAGAAAACGACAGAGCAGTGATGAAAGGTTAAGCTTTATGTCAAGGGAAGAACACCCTGGAAGTCCATTATATCTAACATTTTTGTGCCATGCACGCTTGGAAAAGGCTCAGCAAAAATAGCAAGACCACACATCCATATACTGAATAAACAGTACAAAGTGTCTGCAGTTTCAGGAGTTTCCTTTAAACAAACATGCACATGCAAAGAGAGGACTTTGGTTTGATCTGTGTTTAAACCCTACGAAAGACAACTGCGTGACAGGAACTTTGCTTCAATTTACACTGCGCTAAACTTTTACCCATTTCAAAGGAGCACAAGGCAGGAAATTTTTAAGCCTCCAAAGAAATCCTTCTAAATGCCCTTTTGCACATCAGGTAGAGTTGTAACAGCATCTCATCTCATAAATGAAATCAGCATTTGGTTCTGGAAATTCACAAAAACAAAACACCCCAACTCACCTGAGGGATCAAAGGAAGTGCCGCCAGGAGAAGGTGAGGGTGATGCTCCAAAAGCAGCTTCAAAATTGGGCTGTAGTATATTAGCCTGAGCTGGAGTAACAGGGGAAGGTGAAGGAGAAGGAGCAATAAAAGAACCCCCAAAACCTGTGGAAAAATGAAAGAGGGAGAAATGAGAAAGTAATCAGATAACTACTAAAAGCTGGCCAGCACACACAGATCTGAATACTCTTAAGGCGCAAAGCAAATTTTTGGATACATGGTACTATTTCTTGCTTTACATAGCAGAACAACTGGGGACTGTTGCACATCCATCCTCTCAGAACACTTTATGGTAGGACTTAATACTAAAAAAACCCCTCTTGTCCTGATCAAACTATTAGGGATCAAAGTGGCTTGCTGTATCATTTCCTTCCCTTCAGTACTTAATTGCTGCAAGATCAATTTAGAGCTGAGATAAGGTTTGATGTAAGAGCTTGCACACTTACTGCCAACAGCTCAAAAGTTACTTTTGACCATTTGCTGTGATTCTACATTAGGGGAAAAAGAAACTCTAATAATTATATAATCACTTGCGAAATATATAGACCAGCTTTATTCATTGTTTGGAGCCTGCAAGTGTCCCAAGCTAGGAATAATACAGTGAAGGACATATGATCTCATCGGACACATTATGGTACACATGGCTATCCTGCTCTTTTGACATATTTGTGTACTGTACTATCAAGGTACATTTTCTGAATCAGAGAGCACTCCAATATTTTGCTACTCCTTTTACTGCCCTTCTAGTGCATTAGTTCTGAGAAATTCGTAAACATCGTCATCTGCGTAGCAGCCATGAGTTAGTTAGCAATTATCTAAGCTGGAGGGTATATTTGCACACACATTTCAATTATAAACCCCATTTTCACTCATTGCATTAACTTGAGCAAAATAAACAATTGGCAGTAGGCAAGGGAAGAGGGCTGAAGCAGTAATGTGCTTCCTTTGGGCTGCAAGGCAAAATAATACAGCTAAGAAGGCTTAAGTCAGTCTTATTACTAAGGGTCTGATAAAGCCATAAAAGCCTTCAAGAACTAGAAGCCAAAGCAGGGGTGGAAAACCACCTTCAACCCAAGGGCTGCATTATCCTCTGGGCAGCCTTCCAGGGGAGACCTGCTAGTGGTGGGCAGAGCAATGGATGCAAATTTTAGCTTTGTACAGTAGGCTAGTTTCTATACACATTAAACACACCCCTCTCTATCCTTCAACCAGGGAAGCAAGAGGTGCTATCAGAGTTCAAGGGCACTATCTGGCTGTGCAAAAGCCCTCAAGGAGAACGTCTATCGGGTCCATTGAGGGGTGTAACTTAAGGAGAATTCTGAGGGGCAGCTAGAGAGGCCTGAAGGGACACATTCAGACCCAGGGCCTGGATTTCCCTACACTTCCAACTTTTTATATCTGCCGCTGCATGAATCAAGAACTAAATGTTTGGCGCCTCCGCTTTCATGCTTTAAAAGCTCTGCCTTTACTTATGTTATTGCTGAAGCCTAATCAAAGTCACAAAAAAGCAAGCACAATTGCATCTATGGTGTAAACGTGCTACTTACTAATGGCGTTGCTACTAATAATGAGTAACAGAGAGCATTGCTACTGAGCAGCCCGTGAAATGGATGCATTGTGGGAAAGGACTTTCTACAATACGTTTTAGAGGTCCAGGTGGAACTGCCTCCACAAGAAAAAGATGCCTCTATACTATAAACATGAAAGGTTGGCTTTGATGAAATGTTGTTCTTGTCAGGAAGGCACCCTTGGAATAGCATTTCTTGTGTTCTCTTTAGAGGTGTGCAAATGCAGACAATTCTGTTCTGGACATGCATCTTAGGCAAATAACTACGTCCCCTAATTTTGTGTGCCTCAAATCAGCCAAACCTCTCTCAGGTCAGGGCTTTTTGTTGTTGTTTAATGTTCTTTGTTTCATTCAAATACATTTTATCCCGTTTTTACTTCAAGGAATTTGGGGCAACATCAAATATCCTGTAAGCACATGTACCACGTTTGATCTGAACAACTGGGTGACACAGACTGTGATGCGTGAGTGAAGGTGGTGCCATGATCAGAGAGTGGGAATTTTAACCAAAAGATCTCCCTGGTCTTAGTCTAATGCTAACTATGGCACCATGCGGACTCTTAGGATATTAATCTCTAGTTCGTTTAATTAAACGTTTCATAGAATAAATTTAGGCTAACGAAAAGCGTCAAAATGATGTCTCTGCAAATACTTTGCTTTCCACTGCCATCAGTAGAAGAGAAAAATATCTTCTTCATCCTGACTGGCTAAACAGAACTAGCAGCAACACAATTCTATTGGCTTAGAACAGTGGTGAGAAATCTCTGGCCTGTAGATTGAAAGTGGCTTACTAGGCCTCCATATCAGGTTTCTCACATCACATTACTTCCTACTTCCCTGTGAAATTCTACTGAGTTACAGCTAAGCTTTTAGCACTGGAAAAAATGACTTCCTCTTTTCTCTGCGTTCCAAGAAAGGCAAGCTAAGATGTTTCTGTGTGTGTGTGTGTGAGAGAGAGAGAGAGAGAGAGAGAGAACATGACAGACAGAGGTGGTGTGTGTTTTGACTCCACCCACTTGAGCAGGTGGTCCTCAACCACTTCCCTTACCCTGAAGGAATTTAGCACTGCAGAGGCCTAATGTTCCCCACCCCTGGCTCAGAGTCATGTTTTCTAATGCACCAAATGGAGTGAAGCTTGCTGCTTCTGTAAGCGATCACCCAATATCTGTGCTCAAGTAAAGAAACATTTAAAAATATGTTAAAAAAAACTACCACCATGATGTTAAGAATGGCACATAATTGTTTTTCATTACCAGCCAATAGGTCGGCGGAAGCAGAGGAGCTAGAAGCAGCTTGGGTTGCAGGCTGGGGTTCAGGAGCACTACTTCCAAAAGCATCTATAGGTATTTCCATGAGACAGCAATAAAAGGCAAGAGGGTTTAAACAATGAGTAGGTTAATGTACAAGTTTGGGGCAAAGCACACAACCCTGGACTACCAAAACAAGACAAGTGCCATTTTTCATGGCTGTAGAAAAACCACCACCAAGGATATTAGTAAGTTTTGATCACAGCTCTTCCAGAAGAAAGCAAAAGAAAGCTATCCTATACCACCCTACTGAATTACCAGTTTGCATTCGCTGATCTGAAGCAAATCACTTAGGTACAGTCTAGCTGAAGGAAGGAGAAACCTGTGGCATTCCAGATGTTGCTGGACTCCAGCTCCCATCAGCCCCAGCCGACATTGCTAGTAGTCAGGGATGATGGGAGTCTGGTCCAGTAACAGCTGGAGGGCCATAGGTTCACCATTTCTGTCTAAATGGAAGCTCGGCTTTCTGCAAAAAAAAACTCTCCCTCCCTGCCATCATTGGCAAAGTGATGGAAAGCTTGATTGTACAGAAAATAAACACATGTATGCAATTATTTTAGAGGGAAATATTTTCCAGGCATTGAATGGAAAAAGCATCATTAAGGTACAGTCAAATTCAGATTCTCAAATTTGTAAAATATGATAAGCTTCCACAATTTTGCCCTTTTGTATCAAATTCCACAGAAGTGGATCAACTGACATATCTCTCCCATTTGAAAACACATCAACAAAAGTTTCTCAACTCCATTCCTTACTAGTTACTTAAAGATATTAGGCAGCTGGAAATAGAAACCACACAAGCCAGATAAAAGCATCACTGCAAAGCACTCTATACACACTGTAGGTGAAGAATGTAATAATTCAAGTTATTTAAGCAAGAAAGCAATTCCATGCATGAAATGTTGCTGAAATCAGGAGAGATGATGGAATAAATAAAAAGGGCTAATGGTTTATTTTATAGCAAACAGTTTAAATGCATATTCAGTAACAACATAAAAACTGTAACAAACAAAACTGTTAAGGAACTTTAATTTCTAGTGAAGAAAAATGAAATGGAACTGAACTGAAATGAAATGTGAAGTTCTCTAATGGTGAGAAGGAACAATACCCACCACCAAACAGGTCAATCACACCTGAAGACTCCACTTTAGCTGGGGAGGCAGTGGGCAGGGACGATGGTGCTGCAAATGCGTCCACTGCAGTAAGCATGATATATTTAGTATAAGCAAATCAGGAGTGATGAGATCCAACTACCTTGGATCCATGAAAACACAGTAAATAAACATTGACTTCTGAGATATCAGCACACGTGTTCCCTTTACATTTCTCATGCAGTATCCAAAATTTAGTTCTTTCCACTATAGTACTTTAAATAAACATTTTGCAAGCAGTGCAACTATTTTAACACCACACACACATAAACAGTTCCTTGACCATTTCTATTTACCTTCTATACATACAAACTTTATCATACATTATTTTTCCTTGATACCCATAAGGATTTTAAATATATTTTATCACTCCGCTGACATCTTGTGATAATGTCTCATCTATGAAATCAACTCACTGACCCAAGAAGTACTTTTTATCATAGGGAAAATTTTGCATATACAAGTCCTTCCCCCAAAATTCCCTGTATCTACCAAGTCATGCTACCACTACTACTTATCCTAATCATTGTTGTGACACATCTGCAGTATGATCTTAAGCATGCCCACTAAATCAGGAGTTCTATTGAGTTCCAGGTCTCTATGGAGTCTGCTTAGCACTGCCACTTCTTTGTTCTCCAGACTTCCTTGCAACCTTTATTGTCCTTGCCACACATAGCAGGTGGTAAGATTCAAACCCAATGGGACTTCCTGGAAATAATTTTCCAAGTACTCTGGGAAATGTTGTTGCACAAGTTGCTTCAAACTTTGACGAAAATGCATACAGAGGAGAGATCAGCTTTGTATCGATGAAGAAAGTAACCACTGACTCTTCAGCAGCTCAAACTGAGTTGTATTGAAACAAATTTGGGAAGGGAAGGGTTGTGGTAAGTCATGTGAGAGAAAGCAACAAGCACACTCACCAGATAAGAGATCACCAGTTAGAGAACTCTCAGGCACAGGAGAAGCTCCAGTTGGTGGAGAAGAAAAAGCATCTTGCAGAAGACAAAGAAAAACCAAGTAGAAAACAAATGAAGATTGGAAACAGAGAGAGATGCTTCACACAAAATACTGGTCAAAATAGAAAAGCAATTAAGAGAAGGAGGAGTTTGGGTTTTTAAGGGAAAGGATAGTACTATTCTTTACCTGTACCAAACAGGTCTATGCTAGGAGTAGCGTCTGGCTTAGGTGCTGCAGAGGCATCAGCGGGTGCAGACTCAAACAAATCTAAGATCAAGAACACACATGTCTTTAACTCATTTCTGGGAGACAAGACTTGGCAGTTTTTGAACCTCCAACATGGATTTTTTTTTTTGTTTCTTTCCAATTGTCACAAACAGTATACGTGCAAAAGATTGTTTGCATATGCTGTACATCCAGGATCAATTCCCCCAGAAACATTCTTTTTTAATTAACAAAAAAGAGTTAAAAACAAATTACCACCAAAGATATCTAGAGCAGGAGTAGGAGCGGAGGAGGAAGTGGTGGTGGTGGTAGTGGTAGTAGCAGACGTGGTAGCAGTAGTGGTAGTGGCAGTGGCCGTAGTAGTAGCAGTAGTAGCAGGGGTTGGAGGGGCCACGGCAGCAGCTGGAGTAGGAGTAGTTGCGGGAACTGAAGCGGCTGCACTAGTTGTAGGGGTAACTACAGGAACGCTGGTCTCGGTGGGCTTCATAGCAAAGAGGTCCAGCTCTGGAGCAGCCTCTGCACTGCCTTCAGATGGGGCAAAGGGGTCTTGTAAAAGGAAAGGGCACAATATATACATGGGATCAGTAGGGAGGGAGATGGGGAGAAACCACACAGAGTGTGGATTAAAACCACACACACAGAGAGAGAAAAATATATAATATATTATGCATACACACAAAACACAAAAGATCATTAGCTAAGCCTCCACCATCTTTACCATGGAGTAAATAAACACAGCTTTCCCCACCCCACCCCTAAAAAATAAGGTGTTTTTTTTAAGCTTCTAAAGTTATAGTAACTCTGTTATAACGTTATGGTAGTGACCACAGGAAGAAACCCACTGACTGACCTTTAACGTTCAGCATTGTTAGGATGTTTCAGTTAAAAAGGGGGTGGGGGGAACTTCACTGGAAAAGAAAAAAATTAACCACATTTTCTCTACACATGCTCTGGGGTCTACAGATTTGCGGGGGGGGGGGGCGCTGCTTGATAGATTAGAACTACCTCCCAAGCTGTTGGAGAAAAGATTAAAGGAAGTCATAGGGTGGTGGGGGAGAGAGAGAGAGAGAGAGAGAAAGAGAGAGAGAGAGAGAGAGAGAAACATACTGCCATGTAGTTTATTTCAACAGTACGACAAACACGACAATGACGGACTAGCTAATGAGATGGAACCCACCATTTCCTGAGCATGCATCAAGAGCTGCTGCTACAGGGGTTGGGGTAGCTGGTGCTGCTGCCCCTTCAGCTGCTGCAGGGGCTTCACCAGGAGAAGCTGCAAAGGCATCTTGAATGCAGTTTTAGGAACAGAAATTAAAGAAGGATTAAAAGAAGAAGAAAATATAGCACAAAAAAAAAAAAGAACCAGGTTAAAAATGGCATAGAAAAGATTCCCTTATACAAACTGGAAAGGCAAGGGTGTTGGTGGGGAGGGCCCCACCTGAGTTTTTTGGGTTGTTGTTTTTTGTTGCAGGTAGTTTTGTTTGCTCAATCAACTTGTAGTAGGTGAGGATGCAGAGACAGCCTGAGGGTCACAGGCAAGATATGCAGGATAGCGAATCGCGACCATATATTCATTGTATAAGGGTTCTGAATAGCATGCTCATGTAACAACCAAAATAAGGTTTTTTTAAAATAATGGACCAAAATAATGGACTGTATACAATTAGGATAAAAAATTGTAATTAAGACATTAACGTTGTCCTATTCTGTCAAGCTCTCTCATACGTATCTGAACAATAATTCTAAATCTGGGGCATTTCTTAAGATTTAGGAACCAAACTGTGCCAGGAGGCTTCAACTATTTGTACAATAAACTGCAACAATTCCTGATTTTATGGCAATAGGAATGCAATAGGGATGTTCACTTGCTCTAAATAGCTCTTGCAATGTGACTTGAATTACACTGATATTCCAACGTATACAGCCTACGCCCTAAGGAGATGAATTACTAGAAAAATAATAATCATAATCTTACACCGAGCATATAGCATCTTCTTTGAATTATATAATTACAGTTTTTGGTTATACTGTCCTAAGCAGTTTGACACCCTTTTCTTACATACTATCATCCATACACCATGGGTATCTAATAATGCCTTTGTGCAATAATGGAAATTACTCTAAAAATTTCTACAGTCATAATCCAGCAGTAGTGTGGGATTTTCTAACCTAGACTGTTTTCCATTATCAGGATTAATCTAATACAGTCGTACCTTGGAAGTCGAATGGAATCCGTTCCGGAAGCCAGTTTGACTTCCAAAACGTTTGAAAACTAAATCACGGTTTCTGATTGGCTGCAGGAAGCTTCTGCAGCCAACTGGAAACAACGCCAGACATTCAGGTTCCAAAAGAATGTTTGCAAACTGGAATAATCACTTCCGGGTTTGCGGCGTTCAGGAGCCAAAATGTCCAAGTTCCAGGGCGTTCGGGATTCAAGATACGTCTGTATGGGGAACTTAGTAGCTGTATGCAGGCAGATACACTAATGCATTCTATAAGTCACAGGAGTGGGTGTGCCAATTGGCTCTGCCCACATGCTGACTAGCCCAAGTCCCTGGCACCTGCACATAAATGTGTCTGCAAGAAAGGAGACTCCATGCATATAACTGTATGTGTGAAGGCTTCTGTCTATATGATCTGGATCATTTGACGATTGCAACAAAGCAACTGACAGTGGTACCATTTCCTCCCCAACTGCCAATTCCACAGTGGCAGAAAGAGAGGAGATGTGCCATCTGGATAGCCTTTGTAAGCAACGCCACTGCTGCCGCTATGCAGAATGCAGAGGACAAGTCCAATTTCAAATTGTTTTCAATTTAATTTAAAGTCTTGATACAAACCAAGCATCAAAGACTTCCATTGCCCATCTGGTTTTGGATTTGATACTTCCTAAGTATAATGGTGAAGAAGAAGGCAGCTGCTTCCCACCTTCCCCTTCATGGTACTATCACCCACTGTAGACTGCTCTATGGCAATACAAGAACCCAGCCTAATCCATCATCTATGAATGGATGGGTAGGCAAAGTGACTAGGGTAGAAGAGGAGGAACTGAAGAAATCATGGCTGTGGGGACATTAAAGAGAGGAGGGTTATGAATTGCAAAGTAGCATTCCTAAATCTGAATACTGTACCATGCAACCCCTAAAAAGGAAGGAAATGTTTTAAGTTACAATTTGTCCAAACACAAAAGCTTTACATGCAGTTAACTTAGGCATGGCATTTTCATGTTAAAAATATACATCTCCACACACACAAAAAGTTACTGATGCCAGCTATTCTAAAAAGCTCATGTTGACATGCATCTGAACTGCAACAGAACCAAGCTAAAGCTGATTTCACACTACTGAAGAGCAAAAGAAGAAGAGAAGAGCAACAGGAAATGGAATCTGCCAAGTTCTCATTGCCCTGAAGTTGTGTAGTCTCCATTTAACACATTACAGCAAACTGTATGGCAGTTGTCCAATAATTAACCGAGAACATTTCAATTTTCAAAAGTTCTGATTTGACAAAGTAATTAAGAAGCTTTATATTAAAGCCACATCAAAATATTGATGAAAATGGCACACAATTTCCTAGCTGCTGTATGGATCATGTTTTGCTCACCTGAGCAACCTCCTAATCAGCCATTTGTTCTTTTTGCACAATGCTTTGTGTGTGTGTTTGTGTGTGTGTACTTCTTCTGAAAAGCTTGCTTTAAAAAAACAAAAAACCTTCGACTGTTCACCTCTACATAGTTCTATCTTTATTTATCGTTCCATCCTTATCCTTATTGTGATATCGATATATCACAATATTTGGCTGGTGATATATCTCAATGTTGAAAACCAGATATCACCTAGCCCTACTCTGAAATATAGATTAGCAGAATAGCAAAACGAGGTAAGAGAATGGCTGAGCCTCACTCCATCAGCCTTTGGGATGTTGCACGAGAGGAATAAACCAATGATACCTCTTCCTGCTGTGCACGCATTTTAGCATGAAACTTATCCTGTGTCAAGAATAGGATACAATCCGTAGGATTTACAGTACTAGTAGCAGCAGCTGCTGCTGCTGTGTCAACAGCGGGTCTGTGGTAGAGTCCCAAACATGGAAAGCTTGTGCAATCTCCACAATAAGCTTAATAGTAACTAGTTTCAGTGTTATCACTTCCCCTTCTCTCCCCAAGCATTATTCACAGCAGCTACATGCTGCCTACCAATGGAGCTTTCCTCCCATAGCAGTAGCAGCTTCAGAGGTGGGGTGATTTTTGTCAGGACCACAGCATGGAGAAAAGGGTTGAATCCCACTCCTCTGTGGCCTGGTCTTCCTACCTCCCATGGCTATTTGCAGAGAGAGCAATATAAGCAACTTAATATTGTGTGTTTGTCATCCCTTGGCCCACTTCAAGTTTCCACGGTGATCACTCCCAAAAGCAACCTTGCCTTTGGAAAACTTAACATGCAAACTGGGCTATCCTGAAGCTTCCAAGTATAAGTATTACATTTTGTCAGTTCTGCAGCGAGTCTATGAAAATCAGTGGGTTTCAACAATGTTTTCTCATCCTCATTTTTTTTTTTTAGAGAGAGAGAGAGAGGGAGAGAGGGAGGGAGAGGGAGGAAAAACCTCAATGACGAAACTAACCTCCAAAGAGATCCACTTCAGCAGAAGTAGGAGCAGCGGCAGCTGTAGATGTAGCAGAAGCAGGGGCTATTTCAGTAGTAGTAGTAGCAGCAGCAGCAGCTGCAGCAGCTGGAGTGGGTTCTGTTGCAAACGGATCTGAAATCTGCGGCTCAGAACTAACACCGGAAAGCCCAGCCAGACCGTCTACAAGTCCATATATGAAGATCAAACGGAAATAGTGAGCAGAAGAGAGAGAAAGAGAGAAGGGGAAAACAAACTAACACTACATTGCAAAAAAGAGTGAAATGGCAGGACTAGGCTAATTGTGTATTAACAATTTGGAGGAACTGGGGTTAGAAATCATGCATTACTCACCCTCTCCCAAGAGGTCTGCAGCAATGTCCATTAGAAGATAGCAATGTAAAGAAATAAGAGTTAATAATAACTGCCAGGGCCAACATGCATGCTATCCAGAAGTCATTCTCTGCCAGCGTGGGGCTATTTCAAATCAACAGGACGCTGCTCTAACTCCAGACATGCCACAGGTACCTTGCATATGGTTTTATAGGATGCAGTCTGCTTTCTTTTTTCCAAAGCTCCTAAAAACAAAGACTTAAGTGGCCGAGACTTCTCTGAAACCATTTCTACCACAGCTTCATCCAACCACATTTCATCTTTAAAAATAATCTGGACTCATCTGATGCATCATCCCCCATGTACCATTTCATTTTTCAACACCCTTGGGAAGATGAATACCACTTCACCCAACTACAGTACATTCAAAGAGTCCATCATGAAATGACACAAAAGTGTTACTATCCAACAGGCAGCGAAGGTTGATGGGTGCAAGTACTGATCAAGCCAAGTGCAACATATATAAAAAAATTATTGAAAGAGTACAGTTCAGGCCTGTCCCGTCCCTGCTCTGCCCCTCCCCCCAAAGAAAGCATCTCTTCCGGACTTGCAAACCCAGGCTTTTAAGTCATCATCTTTTAGATACCAGAGTTAGCTTTGAAAGACTCAAATTGGAAATGACCCTTCCCGTCTAAATGGACAAAAGCAGACAGCTAGGTTTATTGTTCTTGGCTATAGCTCATGGTTAATGAGCAAAGAGTTAAAGAACAAGCCCTGGATTTTTAGAACCTGCTCAGTCAAACTCTGACTCAGTAAGCCATGTCATAGAAATGATGCAAATGTAAGAAAAAGTAGGCAATACAGATGTTTCCTCGTGCCACTAACTATTCCGCAGTCTGAGTAAGCAGTGATGCACTAGGAAATGTGGTACTCTCTGGTTTTTTGTTGGATTCCAGTTCCTATCAACCCCAGCCAGCAAACAGAAGAAAACATGCTGCTGACCAAACATGTCTCTTCTCTCTGCATCAGAGGCACAGAGAAGAAAGCTTAACAAGAGGTCACAACAACAGGTGCTCCACTGTAAGACAGACTGCAGTCTAGGTGTGTATTATCTGCCATGTGCATCACTGAAACTCTGCTTTCCAATTCCACACAAGAAAAAACAACCTTGAACCCTTGGTGACCACAATGTATATCTGCTGGGCTGCACTGGGCATACCAAGCCATAAAGTGTGCAGCCTTGACTTTGGGTGTAGATTAAACTGGGGAGAAGTTGTTTCACTTTAAATTTTCCTCTTAGGCAACATGCCTACTGCCTCTCTTTCTTCAACAACTCCCCCAGTGCCCCTATAAGAGTCTCTCTCAACCTTTTGGAGCAGATTTTGGGGGCACAGGGGAGATGAAGAGGTGAACAGTGCAAGGCAATGCTCCACTGTGAAGTGGACCTTCCCTTACACAAGTGGATGGACACGATAATCTGCTAGCCAGTTTATCACCATGACAAGAATGCCAGCTTTTAATTTATAGGTATCACTAGAAACCACTTTCATGTTTCAGACCTAAAATTCCAGTTAGAAGCAACGACGACAACAAAAAAGAACTTTGTAGCACCTTAAAAGACTGATTTATTATGCTACCAGCTTTCAGGGACTGAAGTCCACTTCATCAGCTAAATGAGATTGATTAGATTTCTGCTCTATACTGATAAATGGTGCCTTCCATCTGGACAACAACTTCCAGAGAGGGACCAGGTTTAGTCTGAAGCAGACCCTAATCTACAAAAGCTTATGCTATAATTAATTGTTAAGCATTTTAAAAAGCTGCTACAAGACTCTTGGTAGTTTTTGCTGCAAGTAGACGAACATGGCTGCTGTTCTGGAAGTTGTTAAGAAGCAGCATGAGCATAGCTCAAATAAACACAATTTATATTTCATTCACACAGTTGAACAAAACACTCCCTGCCCAGCAATAAATTGGCTGTATTATAAATCTACACTCCTTTAAGGTGATACCTAAGTTCTGCATCTCCTGCCTGTTTTGGGTGCTCATATAGCCCAAGGTTTAATATTCTCAGTAGGTGTAAGAAGGTTTTCTGAGTTCTGGCAGCCTCCACTGTGGTTCCAGAGTACTGCATATTTAATGACAATTTAAGGCATTCGGGGTTTAAATGTCACATTCCTTCTACAGAAGGAGAGAATTAAAGCTCAACATAGCTAGGGATATAGTGCTCTTGTTATAGGGCAAGTCACACGTAAAATGAGAACACATTTCGGGATCCGCGTTTTATTACACTAATGGCTATGCAGAGATCAGCAGAAATAGAGACCCACCTTGGATTCAACCACACTCATTCGCTGTACATTTGCCAAAATGAAAGCTTTCAAAACATGGTTTTCTTTGTGAAACAGGATTCACTATGGAATAATGAAAACTTTGAACAGATAGGCTGAATCCAGACCTCCTAGTCTGAGCTTTCTCAAAGTTCCTTGTTAAAATGAAAACAAAATCAAGTGGTTTTTTGGGGGTGTTTTTTTTTTGGCAGATTTTCAATATCCCATAGACCTTACCATGCAAATGCTGCTGCTATAGTGTTCTTTAAAAAGAAAAGAAAAAAGCTACAGAAAACAGTAGTGAATGCTTCTCTCAAATGGTGACACTATCCATATACATTTCCAAAGGACCTATTGGTTCTAAAAAATGGTTCGAGATACAGTGAGAACATCTAGCACTATTTCAGGATTTCTTTTATAAGCAACAATCCATGTAGAAGGATAACCGCACGCCCTTACCAGGGGTATCATGTGCAGGTGCAGACCTAATGGATTCAATGCCAAGTGATGTCATAAGACACCCACTGGCATGAGAAACCTCTTCCTACACCTGTTACCCAGTGGTGGCAAAAGTCTTTTACCTATCAATACCCCGCCCAATTGGCCACTACTAATATTTCTATGTGCCACGTGATCCACCTGGGACAAGTCAAACACAGAAGCTTTGGGAGCTACATCCCTCTCCCCCAACACTCTGACATGCAATATCAAACTAGAAACCTGAAGTAGTAGCAAGTGGCTGGTGTTCATCCAAGGGGTTGGAAAATTAATGTGGCCTTCTGCCCACTCTTAAAATAGTAAGGTTTGGTTTGTTAAACGCCACCACACACAACATATAGCCCTTGTGCTGGCTAGTTCCAAGAAGGATTCTTGTCACTTATTAAGGGAGGAGGGGAGTGAGTCAAGGCCCTTCTCCAGATACTCCAAAAGCTTTCCTAGTAATCAGTGGCTCAGCATTTCCCCCCCAGAATAACAGTTCTGACAGGTTTCCAGTGCTGCACACCATGAAAGCAGAACTGATCCATGTCATGCTAGACCATGGTTTAACATGGTATCCAGGAGCTGCAACAAGTCTTAGGCTTGTGTGCTCTCCCATCCTGCGTATGCAAGACAATGACATTGGCAACATTTACTTCCTTTAAAGCTGGCTTGTTGTTGCCCGAAAATCCAAGATTATGGTTTACACCAGCCTTCCCCAAGCTAGTGCCCTCCAGATGTTGTTGGACTACAAATCCCATCACTCCTGGCCTATGACCACACTGATTGGGGGAACCAGGTTAGGAAACGTTGCTTTACACTATGGTCATTTTAAGAAAACCAGTTTCACAACCAATGCTCTGAAGCAATTGACCAGAAAATAATGAGTTAGTGGTGCATTGTGATCCCAGGTTCCCATGCTATGACAATCCAACACTGAAGGAAACTTAAGGAAATGCTTCTCCTTCTAGCTGTGTGAGAAGAAGTGGGGCGGGGTGTGTGTGCAATGCTCCTTACAGCTTATGCACAGTTTTGTAAACCATGGTTTAGTGTGATGTAGGAACACAGCCAGAGTGCAGTCAATGCTCAGGGCTCAAGGATTATTCTAAAAGGAGTTTTCAGAGGTCTGTGATCAGAAAGTTTTTACCTCCCCATGAAGTTGCTCCAGCAGGAGCTGCTGAAGCTGCTTGCGCAGTAGTAGATGTAACGTCTGGCAGAAGGTCTAGAAGATCACTGGAGGGTTTGGAAGCACTGTTGCAGAAATAAGACAGAAAAGAATTTTAGGATGAAAGCTGTAGGTGTAGTTTTGAAATGGTGTACTAGTCTTGTGAAGACTTCGCTATCCCTCTGTCCTGATCAGTGCCTTGTGGAACTAGAAGCAAGACATTGGGAGATAGCACTGCATGTGTGTGTGTGTCAGACGCATGCATTAAGAGTTGTGCACACTCATACTTTGGGTACTATGAAATAGCTTGCCCACAATGAGCTTAAGATGGTCTTTCCAACAGTGTGAAAGAAGTAGAGAACTTATAAAATACAGGCAATGACCAATCTATGTGCATCCAATTGGCTCATGACCATGCATGCGCACATCTCCGCAACCCGGAGGTTGGTGGAAAAGGGGCCAGAATAGGAAAGAGCACTCCACTGACATGTTGGTCGTTGCCTGTATATATCGAAAAAGACAACTTTACCCATATCATCACTCTTTAAACACAACTTTTAAAAATAAAAATAAATAAATGAGTATGTATTTTCATTTGTTGCTTAACTAACCTGACTGGAGCTGCTGTAGATGATGTTGCAAAGAGATCAACTGGAGGAGATGTATCAATACTTTTTGCCGGGGTGGAATTGGGAGACGTAACAGTTGTGGCTGGAGAAGACTGGACAAGAAAAACTCATAAGTACACAACATGCACTTAATTTTTCAGCAGCTGCTATATTAAAAGCATCTTTAGTATTTTAATGTAAAAAAAGAGGTCAACAGTGTAGTCCTGTGCATGTCTGCTCAGAAGTAAACCCAATGAAGTTCAATGGGGCTTACTACTAGGTAAGCGTGAATAGGCTTGCAGCGTAACGTGATTAAATCCCCTCCCAATAAAGAGGTCCATCTCAAACTTTCACTTCCTCTATCATTAGCCCATAAAGAGGAATCATAAGCATGTGTTAAAAAGACAAGTGTCAAATTCAGTAGATACAGAAGTTACTTTATTAACAGCGAGTTAAAAGGCCTTTGAATTTTAGGTCTCTAGTTCACAGTGGCTCAATATTATCTGGGGATCAGTGGCTAAGCAAGATCTCAGATTTCACTGCCATGACAGAAGCTGGAAGCCTGCCAACATCCATCTAGGAATGGATCAGCGTATCTTCAAGGCAACGGTGTTCCTCTGCTGCTGAAGGCCACGGGTAAAATCTTTCCCCCCACCCCCTTCCATGTACTCAAGTGTTGTTGTTTTTTCTAAGAGACTTTGTATATCTTCAGTCTAGGAGGAACTTAAGATATGGCCCCCAGACACTAGGCACCCTATTTGATGGCTTAGAATTTTTTTTAAAAAAACCCCCAACAACAATAGCTTCAACAGAGGCAGAGGAAACTAAACTCCCACTTCAATCCTAAGATATGGCCCCCAGACACTAGGCACCCTATTTGATGGCTTAGAATTTTTTTTAAAAAAAAAAACCCAACAACAATAGCTTCAACAGAGGCAGAGGAAACTAAACTCCCACTTCAATCCTTGCAGGAAAACGCCATTATTTTCCAGTTTCACATTTAGAATGTGACAACTGCATTCATCTGATATGAAACTGTGCCCTTATCAAATAGTTCTGCAGACAAAACTGTTATAAGTATAAAAAACAACTTGACAATTCTGAGACTTGGAATAGTTTGTTCTTTGTGTTCAGGTGTATGGTTTCAGAGAATAGGGCTTTTGACACCAGAATTTAGAAAGAAACATAAAGGCAGGATTTGCATGATGTATGAAATAGAACCTAATCTATAACTGTTCCAGTTGCAACATTTCTAGGTAAGATAAATGACTGTGCTGTAAATTGGTAATAAAACCTACTCAGAAGGGAGAGGCAGGTCTAGACTTAATCTTGAGATCCAACCTGAACCTGGTACAAGATTGTCATAGCCTTCTGGAACAGGGATCTCAGCTATTCACAGTAAACCATAATTAATACTTTACTGTGCACAAACCAATCACACCCTTTCCACTCCTTTCCACTAGTGCTGAGTAGAAACAAATCATGATCCAACTTAACAGCAGAGGTTGTAGTTTGTTTTGCTCAGATATGTCACAATAAGTAAACGAAGAACAACCGGTGGACACAAACTGTTTTCTGGGGAGCAAAATAGACACAATCCATGGATAAAATGCAAAAGCAAAAGCAAAGGAACACAATGTTTCTTCCCGGTGCTAGCAAAGCAGAACTAAGTGGGCACAATTAGTTAGCTTATGAATGATAAAATTATTAAGTATAGTTTACTGCAATGTCCTCATTGCACCCAATCTGTGGTTTAAATGGGAAGCTGTCCTAGAAATCCAACATATTCACATTTACATTTTAGAAGAGGAAACTTTCTATAAATGAGTGGATTAGTAAAAAGGGAGTGTCAGGGGAGTTGAATCTCAGCAGTATTCTTGCAACTTTTTAAACGCCATGATATGAAAAGGCCCAACAAATGCAAATAAGTTCAAGAGGACGTCAGTGCAGGGCAACAAGCAAAACCAAGGAAGTTATCAAAGGCAAGAAACCTTCCCTTAAATAATGATCATCTGCCCAAAAGAGAACACAAAGAGTACGAAGTCTAAAACAAACATACAGAGAAAGCATATCTTGCCAGAAGTATTAAGACAAAATAATAAAAATGGCTTTAAACAGAAGGAGGTAAGTAACCAGGGATGTAGATGACAATGGTATGAAAGTTCTACTAGAAAAGGATAGGGAGATTGAAGAGAAGCTGAATGAATTGTTTGCACTGGTCTTCAGTGTACCAGTTGTTGGGGAGTTTATAGCTATTCCTGAACTGTTTCTTTCAGGTGCGGATTCTCAAAAACAGAGTGAAACAGGTGACAAGAGGATGAAGTTTTAGGGCTAACTGACAAATTTAAAAATACAGTGGTACCTCGGGTTACATACGCTTCAGGTTACATACGCTTCAGGTTACAGACTCCGCTAACCCAGAAATAGTGCTTCAGGTTAAGAACTTTGCTTCAGGATAAGAACAGAAATTGTGCTCCGGTGGCGTGGTAACAGCAGGAGGCCCCATTAGTTAAAGTGGTGCTTCAGGTTAAGAACGGTTTCAGGTTAAGTACGGACCTCCGGAACAAATTAAGTACTTAACCCGAAGTACCACTGTAACATGTTACCAGGTCTGGCAAACAATGGAAGGTTCTTTAAAGACTCAGATGCGAAGCTGCTGAACTGCCCAACAACAACAAAAATGTACAAACTGTCACTAAAATGAGCTTTCTAATACCAGAGGATGCTATAATAGCCATTCTAATTCCAGTTTTAAATAAGGGATGAGGAACATAAAAAGTTACAGGGTCATTAACTGGGTAGATTGGTAGCAAGAATTATTAGCATGCCTTACAAAAGGGGTAGCCAACCCGATTTCCTTCAGATGTCACTGGGCCCACTCAGTTCTTATCATCCCTGGACACTGCCCATGCTGGCTGGGGCTGATAAGAGTTGGAGCCCAACAACATTTATTTATAAAAATATTTATACACTGCTATATTGTTGTGTTTGATTTTATTGTTTTAGTTCTCTAGAAGCCACCTCAAGTATATATATTTGAGACAGAAAGGTAGAATATAAATTATAGTAAATAAATACAAAACACCAATTTTGCAAATACCTATAAAAGCACCTGATTTTCCTTTACCACATGATCCAAATAAATGTGTAAATAGAGTCACTACTTAAGTTTGTGGGAAAGAGAGAAGATGCAGCTATAGACGTCTGGGTTTGATTACTCATTCATGTAAAATCCTCCTGCACACAGAATTAGCACATCAATCAAGATACAGTTGGGCTTCTAACAAATCTTTTACATTTACATTTCTTAAACACTTGTGTTAAGAGAGTAACTCTATCTAGCTATTATAACATTAAAATGTTTACCTTGCCCAAGGGTGAAGGAGCGCCAGAGCTAGAAGAATTAATGTAAGAAAATTTTTGAATGCAATACACTAGGAATATCTTTAGCAGACTTGAAGGCTGGAGTATAATGCCACAGTCTATAGCAAAGAACAATAATACCTTCTACTCTAAAAGCTTAGGAATTAAATGAAAATTCAGGTCTGTAAAACTTTAGTTGAAGATTGGTTAATACTCTCCCTGAATATCAAATGCAGTCAATGAAATGTACAAAGAGATGCCATGACTCAGTGGTTAAGCACATTTCCTCTGCATATAGAAAGTCCCAGTTTCCTTCAGTTAAAGAATCACATCTGCATACTTTTAAAGCACACAGCTTTCTCCCAAAGAATCTTGGGAACTGTAGTTTAACCCTCACAGTGTTAAATTCCCAGCAATCCATAACAAACTACAGTGCCCAGAGTCCTTTGAGGGGGTGGAAATGTGTTTTGAATGTGCTTTAAACATACAGCATGTATGGAGCCTCAGATAGCAGCGACAAAACCTCTACCTGACCCTTTATGGGGCCACTAGGTGTCAAAGGAAACAATTATGGGCAACATGGGCTATTGATCTGCCTCTGTAAATAAGGCGGCAGCTTCTTATGTTTCAATACTACTTAGGAAATACAGTGGTACCTCGGGTTACATACGCTTCAGGTTACAGACTCCGCTAACCCAGAAATAATGCTTCAGGTTAAGAACTTTGCTTCAGGATAGGAACAGAAATCGTGCTCCGGCAGCGTGGCGGCAGCAGGAGGCCCCATTAGCTAAAGTGGTGCTTCAGGTTAAGAACGGACCCCCGGAACGAATTAAGTACTTAACCCGAGGTAGCACTGTATATATTTTTAAAAACCTTTTTAGTATAACTGAGGTTGCTTGTTTGCATATTACTCTATGCAGCTACATTGCTAAAGCAGACACAAAAATGAAATAGGAGTTGTTTTGATCATTAACGTGGGATATGTCAGACACCTTCATGGGATTTCCTGCAAAATTTCTATCGATTGTTCACCTGAGCAAATTCTCCAAATTAATCTAAGCAGCATTTATCAGAAACTCATTAAAAACCAGAACCATCAGCCCAGTGAAGACTTTAGCTGAATGGTATAAAAGGTAAAGGTACCCCCTGACCGTTAGGTCCAGTTCTGGGTCAGGTGGCCAGCATGACTAAGCTGCTTCTGGCAAACCAGAGCAGCACACGTAAACACCGTTTACCTTCCCGTCAGAGTGGTACCTATTTATCTACTTGCACTTTGACGCGCTTTCGAACTGCTAGGTGGGCAGGAGCTGGGACTGAGCAACGGGAGCTCACCCTGTCACGGGGATTCGAACCACCGACCTTCTGATCGGCAAGTCCTAGGCTCTGTGGTTTAGACCACAGTGCCATCCGCGTCCCAGCTGAATGGTATATGCCTAGTTAAATCAAATTTGCATTAGCTAAATTCAATGTAATTGACATTGATATTTTGAATCAAAAGGTAACTTAAAATTTAACAAAAGTTACCCACTCTGTTAAAAAAGAAATACAGTATTTCATACTTTTTCATTTCCAGTAAGAACACATAAGAATCAACATTTTGTAAAATAATGCGTATTCCTAATTCAGTCTGCCCTTCTCATTTTATAAAATGTGTGTTCCTAATTCAGTCTGCCCTTCTCAACTAAAACTGAACCCACACCAGTCTACAAGACTTTGAATTGAAATACATAATTTACTATCCTTTTAGTTCAGAAATGCATTTTTAATTATGAAAATCAAAGTGTTTCTTTCCGTTTCAAAGTGTAATTCATAGGCATTTCATTTTTGAACACAGTTCTAGGTCTGTATCACAGAATTAAAGTTAATCAAGGCCTATAGCTTCACTAAGAGATGCTAGAAGAGATACATGCTGTATAATATATACATGCATAACATTAGTGTGTATATTTACTTACCCCTCACTAAGTTGCAAAACAGCCATGTACATAAACAAAACAAAAGGGAGGCACATGTAAAGAAACATTTGTTAATTACAGCTTAATTAACAGCTTGATAAACAAATAGCCTAGATATGTGTTTGGTCAAGACACTAGGAAACTGTTACTGAACATGCATGGTATACATACAGCTGAGAAATATTAATATGCTTAGTAATTATTATTTATTTATTACATTTATATCCCATCTTTCCTCTAAGAAGCTCAAGGTGGCAGACATGGCTCTCGCCCTCCCCCTTCCCCATTTTATCCTAACAAGTCTTGTGAGGCACAGCAAGCTTCACAGTTGAGCAAGGACTTGAAGCTTGGTATCCATGATCCTCGTCCAACACATGTAATGCCTGTGGCAAACATGCATCCTGACCCTAAGCATGTGCATTCAGAAGCCCTACTGAATTCAACTGGACTTACTCCAAAATTTGCGTAGGGTTGTAATCTAAATCAAGTAACTATAATCTTTAACTGGATTGCATTATGCTTGCATGATGAAATTCAGAACGTCCTGCTTCACAAGAAACACTGTGCAATACGACACATCAGGAGTACATACTGGAGACCCGTGTTTTCAATTTAGGACATGGATAGCATAATTTTTGGGTGGCTGCTAAGAGGAAGGTGCCAAAAAACGGAGAATAATTTCCATTACATTTGTGTAGCTTACAATTTATGCTGGAAACCGCCCTGGGATCTATGGATGAAGGGTGGTATACAAATTTAATACATAATAATAATTCTTTAGACAAAAGGGTATTTGTGTGTATCTATATATCTTCCTATATAAATTAAAAGGTAAGGTAGTCACATGAATTGCAGAGTGAGAACAGAACAACAGGCCATTCGGGACGAGTGAGTGGTGTGGATAGCCCAGGTGAGTTACAGTGGAAGAGACAAAACAAGCCAGGGCTGCTCATCAGCAACTGCCCTGCTCTGCTGCCACAGTTTTATGTTGGAGCTATCCTAACATCCTATAACCCCAAATCTAAATAAAGCAAGCATGGGCAGGTCTTATGCTCTGTTTGCTAGGCTGGGGTGCTCTCTTATGAGGAAGAACTAGGTGCTGGTCTGAATATAAGAAGGGTATTTAGGTACAGATAACCAAGCTGATAGGATGGGAGTTGCAGTGTAACAACTTCACATACAGCTCTATCACCTTTCTGCATACCTGTTTCCAGGTTTCTTTCCTTCCAAACTGTTTAGATGTTGTTCAAGAGTCTCCATAAGACTACTGGGAGCCTAAGATAGATAAGGAAAACATGTTACTCATTTAAAACTAAAGAGTAAGAGCAGCAGCTTGGGAAGTCCAACATGAACTCCATCTCTTCTCGGAACTAGTCATAACCAGTTACATGCATTTACATGCCATCATCTTAATTCCAAAACACAGCTTTGAGAAAGGAACACCACTTCCATGCTGCTACTGAAACTATTATTCTTTGGTTAGAGTACATTGAATATTGTTTTTATTATTAGTCAGAAAACGAAAGTATGAGTCATCGTGCATTAGAAATTAACAACAGCACAGGCATTCACAGGTCAAAGTTGCCAATAAATCTAAAATAGATACTTGCATGCATAACTAGAGTTTCTGCATTCAACCTAATTAGCTTAACCAAATTTTCCCCAGTCCTCCACACAAGTAGAACTGTAACATAGGTCAGAACTACATATTACAAAATGGACAGAAAGTGCAGCTGCTCCCTGTCTTTAATCTCTTGTTTCTGTAACATTAATATAATGCATGAAATGTTGTCATCATGCCACAGCTCTCCCAACATTGACCAGTGATATGAGAGAGGGATTCACAGTGCAATAACACACATTAGGCTGTATTATCAAGAGATGGCAGGCATTTTGTCTCTGCTATAAATACTGTGTTTATGCTGTAGGTCCAAATATTTCCCAGAAGTAGTACATAATTATTTTTTCCAGACCAGAAACCAGGCTGCTGCTGCTGCTTCTTTTTGTTTTGTTTTTTAAAAAAGGCTGGGAATATAGTATTTTACATTCTAAAGTGAAGTTTAAAAAATGAGATAAAAGTTTGACACAAGTATTAGTTCTGCAGTTACAGAATAATGCAATTTGATCGATTGATTGATTTCCCCCCTTTGATCCCTTCAATATTATTTTTTAAGAGAGAGTTCCCAACATGCGCTTGCTGTTGTTACAATGAGAAAGGAAAGGTAAGTACAGTAAGAATGACTAACAGTGTCCTTAGCTCCTCCAGGATAAAAATAGTGCCTAGATAAGCAGATTTCCACAAAGTCACTGATGAAAGAAGAAAACTTCAGAGGTACAGAAGTGGATGCAAGCCATATTTTATCAAGATTACCGGTTCATCAATTGTATAGTCTTTAAATGGGGACTTTTCATTATCACCACTGTTTTTCAGATCACATAGAACTCTGGTCAGCAACACCTAAGGGTTTTTTTTACATACATAAAATAGATTTACACAGAAATTAAGCAGGTTACCCGGAACAATGTGCAAAAACTTGCTGTTTGGACTATATTAGCAATGCATAGAGCCCTAAATCCTTTGAGATTAACAGTCTTAACCCTAAACAGAGGCTTCTACAATATAACAGATGGACTGTTTCACAGGGCAATGCTTTAGTTTATAAGCAGTTGCCCAAACCTCAAAAGTCAACTTCAAATGTTGCTAAAAGAGAAAGCATTAGATATATATGTTAACAAATTTAGCATTTTACTTGCTTCTAATCTGTAATACCACATTTACTTGAATGTAATACGCACTTTTTTTGGCCAAATTACGTTGTGAAAATTAGGGTGCACATTATACCATATTTTTCCAAGTATAAGGAAAAGGCTAGGTTTTTTTCCTAAAAAATGTCAAAAATTAGGGGGCGTCTTATACTCTGGACCATCTCCCCCCATTTTCTTAAATCCAAGTCCCTAAAAATAGGGGCGTCTTATAGACAGAAAAAGACAGTATTTGATGGTGCATTAGATTCGATTGCAAGCCTGAAAAACACTGCTAGCACAGCAAATACTTTTTTGGTTTCAAGGTTTTGAAAACTGAAGTGTGCATTAGATTCACATAAATACGGTGTGTGAAGCAGTGCTATTGGTTCTGGCTTTCCTGGGTTGTAGATATTTTTTTTTTTTAAGGAACAAAGGGCAAGAGTGAGGATGATACAGCTGGCTTAGGAACACTAACAGCCCAGGCTAATTCTAGAAAAACAACAACCATGTAACTCTCTTCTGCTGTTAGCAAAGGACATATCCATAAGATTATTATAATATGTGAAATTAATGGGGCTTACACTAAAGGTGCAGATCTCATCTCTTAGTGCACTAATGACAGCCTTCTCTAAAATGGTTTTTAGAATATAAACTCCACTTAGAATGCATTGTAGTAATAACACTCCATGTCCGGCATAGTACTAATGATACCAAGTACTTATCTCAAATAAAGTACTTGATAGCAAGAACAAATCCTCCTCTTAGCGATAGAGTTAATTAGTATTTCTAGCCACCACCATAAACTGCGAATGTAGTTAATGGAACAAGGAACATCTTTAGGATGTTGAGTACACAGCCACGAAATGTGTTCCACATCTCACTAAATACAACGAATTAATATGCAGTCACCCAGAAGGCGGTATGATTTAAATCGAGTCTCCTCATTCATCTATTTTCCAAACAAGCATGCAAATTGACTGGTTGCTATAAACAATTAAAGTATGTCAATTTGCAATTACACTAGGCCTTTATACTACCTAGGAACATATTCCACAACTTTATAATCTCCCTGACAATGCAGTATGGGCAAGCAGCTAAGAAAGAAGGGTGAAACCAGATTTTATGAATAGGCATAATGTTAATTGCCTTTGGAGTTCCTAATTATGGATGTTTATTGTTTATTGAAACCAAGGAAAACTAACCATGGCCAACAACCTTGTTTAAACATGGTTTGTTTGGTCACATCATTGCACAAACTCACCAAGCTACAGAAGTACAAGGCAAGACCAGCTAGAAAACAAAACAAGTTCTGGAGGAACAAACTGTTGCTTGTTTGCTTATCTGTGATATGACAACTCATGGTTGACTGAATAAAGTATGGCTAAAGCAAGCCTTGGCTTATAATTATCTGAAAAACAGCAAATGTTTTCAGACAGAAGTGATTTTAAGAGACTGTCATTATAGCCTTAGTATTATGTAGTGTCACCCTTTTAAAGGGGCCCCTTAAAACTTTTATATGGTTTTTCAATTTAAAAATATTAATATAAATAAAGAAACAAGGTCATTTTAAGTGGTGAAAATAAAGTTTCAAGAACTGGATCAATAAAATCAGTTGACTGTCAAAAGACTAAGCAAGGTGTCAACACAATCCTCTATACGGAAGACATTTCAGAGACTGGGCAGATGTTCTCTTGCATTCCAACATACTGAACTTCACACACTGGGTGAGGGGAATAATGAACAGGACCTCAGCTTCTGAACAGAATGCCAGAGTAGGTTCAGAGCACCAAAGAATGTGGCCTGTAAGGTTTCTGGAGCCAGACCATTTCGGCTTTAAAAGGTTAAGACCAGCTTTTGAATTTGAGCCCAGAGACAAACTGGTAGCTTGTGCAGCTCAATCACTGATGGTGATGACTAAAAAATAATAATAGATTCTTATCCACTGTTTTTCATGTTGGAAATCCCATCCACTCTCTTTAATTTGGCTCTGTTTCAATTTTACTCTCATCGGCTTCTCCACTTGCACTCCTCTGCCATAGCCCAGCACTACTCAAGGAGAGATAATGTCAAGACAAGAAAATGCAAGCTGGGTGGCCATACTTCGTAAAAATGCTGCCTAAAATGACAAACAAAACATCACTGCCTTGCTAACTTTTCACCCCAAATGTACAGCAGGAATCTGAGCAAAACCATTGAAGATTAACCCTTTGAATACTTGTGAGAACCATGTAACTTACCGATAATGTAACTATCAATAATAACTCACAAAGAGCAGCTGAATACAATTTCCCTATATCCAGGCTCAGTTAGCTACTGACTAGAACTGAAAGTTGTGCTGTCCCTATCTTGACTAGCATAGAGGCACCAACTTATATTAACCCCCACAATAATTCTCATTGGACTTTCACATATGACTAGGCCATTTGCATATTTTCTGTTTTATGAAAGCACACATCACCTGGGCATGTGTAGGGAGAAAACACCATAGAGGAAAAATTAAATCAGGGAAGTAGGTTCAGGGGTTAGTCCTCATCTGCAGGTGCAGTATTGTAAACAACAACAACAACATCAATCTATAAATTAAACAATGCTAAGCAAGAGACCTTTGGTATGAAGGAAGACAGTCTCAAGGTACTCCTTCTGCTGAGCTATATTTAAAGTTCCCCCCACCCCCGGATATTAAAATAGCTTTTCTGTGAAAAAACACAAGCTTCAGCAGAAGAAAAAGCATATATATTTTTTACTCTTTTTATCTCTTACTCTGCCATATCATACACCTGTTTCAATGAGGCTGGGGATTAGCCAGCATATTGCTTTTCTTCAGAGGACACACACTGGTGTGTGCAGTAAAATATTTGATTGATCATGCTCCAAAGCTCTCTTACTAGTAAATCCTCAAAAAGTAAACAAGAATGGAAAACCAACAGCATTCCGGCACCCCTAACTGAACTGTCATGAGTTTTCTTAAGGCAATCTTCCAAAGGGCTGCAAAAGCCTACAGAAGCACAGGAATGCTTATTGAACAACGAAAGAGAGTCCACCACCTTCCGAAGGAGTCCGTTCCACTGTCAAACAGCTCTTACTGTCAGAAAGTTCTTCCTTATGTAGTTGGAATCTCATTTCTTGTAACTTGAAGCCATTGGTTTGGATCCTAGCCTCCGGAGAAGGAGAAAACAAGCTAGCTCCATCCTCCACATCCTGTCACACTACACTTTATTTGAAGATGACTATCATATCTCCTCTCAGTCTCCTCTTATCCAGGCTAAACATATCCAACTCCCTCAACTGCTCCTCCTAAGGCTTGCTTTCCAGACCCTTGATCATCTTGGTTGCCCTCCTCAACACACATTCCAGCTTGTCCATACCCTTCCTAAATCGTGGTGCCCAGAACTGGACACAGTACTCCAGGTGTGGTCTGACAAATACTAGAATATCGTGGTTCCATTGATCAGGACATTATCCTTCTATTAAGGATAGCAGCCTAGAATAGCATTAGCTTTTTTCGCTGCTGCATCACACTGTTGACTCATGTTAAACCTGTGGCCTACAAGACCCCTAGATCCTTTTCTCACATGTACTACTGGCAAGCTGGTTCTTCCTGCCTAAATGTAGAGCCTTACATTTGTCCCTTTTGAAATTCATTTTGCTAGTTTGGACCAGCTTTCCAATCTGTTATGGTCATAGTGAATCCCAGTTCTGCCTTCTGTGGCATTAGCTACCCCTCCCAGTTTGGTGTCATCCAAGTTGTTTATAAAGACATTGAACAACAACAGATCCAGGACAGAACCCTGAAGCACCCCACTTGTCACTTTTTTCCAGGATGATGAGGAACCATTCGTGAGCACTCTTTGGGTTTGATGAGTCAACCAGCTATGAATCTAGCCCACATTTTACCAGCTTCTCCACAAGAATGTCATGGAGGACTTTGTCAAAAGCCTTACTGAAATTAAGACATACTATGTCCATGGCATTCCCTTGATACACCAAGCTTGTAACGATCAAAAAAAGAAATGAGATTCATCTGGCATGACTTATTTTTGAGAAATCCATGCTGGGTCTTTGTAATCACAGCACCCTGTTCTAACAGACTGACTGTTTAATTATCTGGGAGGTCAACTAACAGAGGTCATGCTGCTGTGCAGTTGAAGGTAAAGCAATCTCATTTATATGCAAGAGTCTTAATGATTAATCTCAAGGATAGGGATGCCACAATAATGTTTTTAAGTGTTCGATCCCTTGATTACATTTCTGCGTAACGACTTAGCAGCATACTTCCTAGGCCTTTAAAATGTGGTCCACATGTATTCTTACATAAACGTTTACAGCAATTCTGTAAGGCAAGCCAATGCTACTCCACATTACAGATGGGAGCTGAGAGATAGGCTTTCCTGTGGTCATCCAGGGAACAGAGATTTAACTCGAATTCTTGACCAGTACACTAGCTCTCTGGCTTCTGGTAATTTATCACCTTATCTTTAGTCGTATTATGGCAGCCCTAAACTTGTCTCTTGTCTAGAGACAAAAGGTAACCCAGTGAAAGTGATGTCATGGACTAGGTCAAAGCATGGATTCAGTACTTAAGAATTTCCTCTCCCAGATGCATTACTCACACTCTCAGCTTCTGGGATCAATCTGCACCTCTGGAAGGGAGAAGAAATATGCAGTCTTTTCATTGCTTATCTCTTAATTAAATGTGGCCTTAAAAATGAAGTCCTCTTCTGGGAACAAAAAGCGGATTGACATCTGTCAAAATAGTTGCTGTTTTCAGGAGGCATATGCTGATGTTTAAAATATGAGTAACGCCATTAGGTTGCATGCTAAATGAACAGAAGTCATTTTTGCTATTGTTAAACCAACCACCAAGCTAAATATAATTTAGGAACTTACTTGTGTAAGATCAGGAATGTCTCCTTTATCAATTCCAATTTGCTGTGGATAATGAAAAAATAATAATTCAGAAATGTTCTTTTGTTTATGCTTAACAAGTCCAGAAATACTAAATAGCTCAATTTGACTACTGCATCTGAACTGTGATTTTAACTCACTTTGAAGCTCCATTTGTAATATCCACATCCAGGTGCTTTAAAATTAATGCATATTTGTAGAAATATGCAATACATTTATTGCCCTACAGAACTGCAACTCTGGATGGAGAACTTCTCTCAAACACAGATGGATGCAGCAAAACGTTTGTGCACACAGCTGGTCCCAGGCTGTGTCCTTCTGACCCGCTCCACGCATAAAAATGAATGCCTGAAATTGAAGAACTCATCTCTATTTAAAGATGGGTTTTCCCTAACTTGGAATATAAAAATTGCTGTTCTGTCAGAAAGATAATGATGCAGCAGCTATTCCCACCAGCAGGCTGCTGGTCTACTACTATCATCTTAACTGGTATAACATGAATATACTGTAGAAGGCCAAAGCAGAGACTAATGTTATTTTATTTGCATTTTGGTGACATCCTGAACAGCTAACACTTTCCACAAAATTCAATAAATGTCAAAGAAATTTTACACAATGTAGTTTATTTATGGACGTGGCGTTTGATCTAAACACATACAAAGAGAGTATCTGAACGACAACTCAGTTTGCTATCAAGTAGATAATTGTGGGGGAAATCACATGCCTAGATAGCAACCATAACAACCAACATGCCACAGTGGAAGATTCACTTACCTCTGCAACTTTGAGGAATTCTGATACTCTTGTCATTCTAGTCAGAAACCGCTTGTAAATCTCAAGAGCATCTTTGCACTGTCCCTTCTTCATTTCAAAGAATTTCTCTGGAATAAATGACATATTCATTTTTAATCCACAAAACTTTTACATTATTCATACCAAGTCTTCATCTGCAGATTATTGCACAAGCAGAAAAGCACTTCTGCATATGCTCAGCAGCCCTGCTCAATTCCTTGGCTTTCCCTGTCCTGCTACAGACTTTCCATGCCCAATCTCTCACTGTTCCTGAACTCCATGCGGCGCTGGCTGCAGAAGGCTGCACTATGAGACCAGCAGCCATGACTAACTGCTGCTTTGGATCCAAGTTTGCTGAAGCTATGAGAGGGGCAATGAGAGAAACACTTGGGGTTTCCAAGTGAAAATATGTGTTGATAAACCATATTTCTTAAAGACACTAGCCTCTGCTGTGCCTTGCTCTTCCCAAAGGAAACAATGCTGGGTATGTGCCTGGAACCCCTGGAATCTTGCAACGCTTTTGGAATTTGGGGTGGCATGGAACAATATAGAAAAGAACACAGCTGAATGTGAGAGAATCATGCGCTTGGAAAATAAGATGGCTTCTTCCTCTCTTAACAAGATTAAGCTGCAGAACTACTATTCTCCTGGAGCAATGTAACGTTAAAAACATGCTACATCAAGTTACTTACCTAATAAGTTAATAACTCCATCATTGTAACAAGCGAAAAGCTTGATGAGATCTTTGAACAGAAGCATAAATGCAGCATTTATAACACCATTTGTCAGCTCATTTGGATGAACCTACATAAAAATTAGAACCCATGGTTGTTAATTGTGATTTGAAATGTTGGAGCTATGTCATATCTTAGAACAAAGTTAAATACTATTGAATATGTACATTGTTCAGGCGCACGCAGGACTGAAGTCTGTTTCATGCATATGAACAGAATATACAAATTATGTGTGAAAATCCAGACAAATCTGAAGCAAATTTAAAGTACCAAGGTTCATCTCATTTCAAGGGAACAACAGGAGCTGGAGAAAAACTTCATTTCTGCCTCTCAGAAATATCCAAATTCTATCTCTCTCAACTGTTGGAAAATACAATGATGCAAAAGGGAAAATGCACCGACAAACAATCCTCAGCATGATCTTGCACAACTGTGAACAATGCACACTTTGTGTGTATGTACGTGTATGTGCTGCTAGCGATTGGAAGACCAAGTTTTGTTATGGACCTTCAGTTAAATGCAAAAATGTTATTCAGTACGGTTCAATTCACAATTTTCTGCCACATTCTTTCTGCACCTTGGAGAAGCTTGCCAAAAGAAATAAGAATTTAGTACAAGTTCATAAGGTTTGAAGTTATATTATGTTTCTACAGTGACCTAAAGTGGGAAGTGTTTTCCTTTTATCATAAAAGAATTTAGAAAAGTGTAAATACATACATCAAATTCAAGAAGTGCATCTATTTGTCCTTGTAATATTGGCATACTCTTCAGTAATTTTTCTGGAACCATTGTCCTCATTACACCCTCCGCCCTGGAAGAAAAAAAATCAAGCTACAACCCAAAAAATCTCATAGGCGTTATTTGGTAACTAATAACAAAATTAAAGCTTTACAGCAGGGTTTCCAAAACTTGGGTCTCCAGCTGTTTTTGGACTACAACTCCCATCATCCCTAGCTAGCAGGACCAGTGGTCAGGGATGAAGGGAATGTAGTCAAAAAAACAGCTGGAGATCCAAGCTTGGGGTTTCCCTGCTTTAGAGTGAAGACTGAGATTCAAATTAAAGTGGATAGTATTTCATTCTAGGAAAAGGTTTAATTACGAGGCACCTAATTATAGAATGAGAGAAACATGTAGTGCTGAAAAAGATGGAAGGGTAGGAAAAACGATCCTGATTTTGGTCAGCAAACCCTGCTTCTATAGACAAATAGTAGCTCCAATATTTCTTTGATAGTACTTGCTTTTCCACAAAGCACACTTCAATGTCTTACCTGAAGTACTGAAGATTCATTAAGGTCAAATCTTTACATCACTGATTAAATCAAGCATGCACTATGTTTTACACTGTAATTTCACTCTGTGGAGAATAATGCACTATTTTTAAATATTTTATTAATCCACAGATAATGGGCAAAGATACAGTACAGTGGAACATCCAACCATGTGCAGATGCTCTGTGTTTCAGATTAAAGACACCCATGGTGTTGTTGGTTTTTTAAAATTGCTTATATTTTCTCTCTATTACATTAAACATTTATTTGAAGATACATTCTTTGTGTGCCATAAAAGGATTCTGCACTTCCAGATATAATGGGGAAGGGAAAAGCAAAGTGCCTGTAGGGTTCACACAAATTATGTGAGCCCTGTAAGGTTGCCCCATAATGAATTCTGGAATATTTTAAGCCATATAGTATTGGTCCCTTTTCTACTTTCAACAGGCATCACATTCTGATTAACTCCTTGAATTATCTTTGGGGACTCAGGCTAGAGCAAGGAGATCATTACAGGATAATAAGGATAATACAGGATAATAATAAAAACACACTGCCTGGTAGCTTCGCAACAACCAATACAAACTTGGACTAAGGGCCATACGTAACATGTATGGCTGCTGCTGAAAGGAGCAAACTCACATTTCTACCTCCTCTCTACAGTATTAATATACCAGCAGGACACATAATGAGAATAGAGATGAGACAAGGTCACTAACGGCATAGAAGCAGGGAAACATTTCCCAGTGTAGACAATTTGGGCCATATTCAGTGATGTGCCTCCATTGGTGCAACAGACTTCTATGCATGCAACAGAGCTTCCTCTTCCTCTCCTATTCCCTACAGCCTCATGCATGCCTTCAAAATTAGCTTTGGACGACACCCTAGAGCAGATTTCGAGAGCAGCAAAGGAAACAAATGCTCCATTGTGCTAGCAGAGCTACATGTATAGAGCACTAGATACAAACCTTCATTTTTAGCCCAGTTTATTCTACAAGGTTAAAATACAGAATGTTCCATATAAAGGAAGCCCCAACTATACTAGGACAACCACAAAATTTCTTCTCATGTTCAATTGCATTTGGAAATCAAATAAACCCACAACAGTATTCATTTATGCAATTTATGCAGCAGCTTTCCCATTTTCAAATACTTTTACCAGTAATATGTGTATAGTTTATAAATAGATACGAAACAGATTGTGATCCAGCAGAGGCATCCACTTATGTTAAGATAATGGGAAGTGATCTTCTTACATTCCTCCTTTCCCCTTGACTTATTCTGGAGATTCCTCCAACCCTCCAGGAAATATTTTCTGGGGGCTGAAGTGGAACTAGAGAAAATCAGTTCCTCTTTTCTTAAGCCAGTGGATATCCCTGCAATATATAAAGCAACCACTGTAGAACAGAAGCACTAGATTTCACCTGCTGATCAGAAGTAGAAATAGTCTCTCCCCCTCCGCCCCAGATCCTACAGCAGGTTTGCAAAAACTAAAAAAAACCTACTTGCATACCAGAACACTCACTATATACATTCTAGTGCTATAATTTCATTATTAAATCACTTTCGGCAATAGTAGCAGTTAAAGCAACATATATTGCAACCAACAATACTTGTAGGAACCATCAGTATTTATATTTGATAAGCTTACCCTTTCTTCACTCTTGCAAAATCAAATGCCATTTGCCGGTAGGAAAATGCTTTTTCATTCAAGTATCTACTGTAGCGCCTGATAAACGTGGACATGTCATATCCTAGCAAGGAAGAAAATATGTCATAATTTTTTGATTTTTTTTAATCCTTTTAATCTTTTACTAATGGATTGAGAGAGGTTGCAAATGCTATATCTTTAACTCAATGATTTATTTTATTAAACGATGACACCCTGATGGATTTCAGTGACATTCTGCAAAATAATTCATCTCACTTAAACCTACATAAGAGAATCCCTACATGTACCTGCCTAGCTATATATGTAGGTGCCAAGAGTTATATGACAAGCAAAGTACAGTAAGCCTGCAATTTACACACATTTAACTTTGCACATTCAGCTTTACTTGTGTGGCAAAAAATATATTAAAAAATTAAGAAGGGGGCAGGGTTCTGGGAACAATGATTTTGGCAATCCCACCTGCCATTGAACTCAATGGGCTTTGACTATCAACGATTTTTGCTTTAGGCATGATCCCTGGAACGTAACCCCCATGCAAGTTGTGGGCTTACTGTAATCTACACTGATATATGTGTTTTGTTCTTTTGGGTGACTGGAAATAACTGAAAAATGGTGTTCAAACTGACCTTTGGATAAATATAATCTGATATATTGATAAGCCATGGTGGCCAACAGCATACCTTGCTTATTCATTAATTTTACTGCTCCACTCATCTTGCCATCTTCCAATACCATGTTACCCTGTTCTGCTATCATTTTGAAGCTACAGGTAGTTTTGATAAACAGATTGTAATGCGCTTTAAAATAAGCTCTTCATAACAAATATTCACAGGCACCCTGGTCTAGAAAACAGTTAAGATGCAAATACATTGAGCCTATTGGATCCCAAATGCAACCAAATCAAATAACAGAATTTAAGAGGCTGTGCTGGAAAAATCCGAAGTAAAAAATGTTCTATCCAGATCTACTTTGCAGTTTGATAGTATAAAGAAATATCTTTCTGCTTTAATGTGTTCTACAAACTGATCTAGAAAAAGGGGCAAACTAAACATGCTGAGGCATTTGGAGACTAAGCTCCAAGCAAGGCTGAACATATATTGGGGCCAAAATACCTCTTTAAACTTTATACTTCAATCTGAATCCCCCCTGCTACATGGAAAGCTGGTACCTCCTTAACATCTAGACATTTCAGGAATGTTTCAGCCTTGAATCTCATTAATATTCTCCATCTATATTTCACATATAAAAGATGGGCATGCCCAGTGTCTAATTAGTCTTGTTTGACAGCTCCCAGAATTGTTATTCTTAGGACTTAAGGATTTACTGAAGAATCATTCCAGTAAAAATCATGACTGCCCTTTTGTATCAAGCATCCTAGGCTCCCCAAAAATGGTAAAACAAAACCTCTACCACTCTCATGTGATCGCTGCCATTATCATATAGCACATCTGAAAGCTTCCGTTATGTGCAAGCAGAAGTCATTAGTGGAAAGCAGATTTGCCTGCTATTTATTCTTTATATGCTGTAGCACCATCAGTGTACATGCTGCCTTACAGATGCGGCATAGACATGTCCCTGTCCTCACAAACTGCAACAGACATGGGGAGACACAACAAAAAGATATGGACAGACAAAGAAAAGGATGCAGGCAAATCAAATTGCACAACTTGGCTGCATTTGTACCCTATCCCCCAAAAGTATTAAAATTCATATACTACCACAAGCCTAAATAAAAGGATTAAGAGAAAAGAAATAGTTTAAGTTTCATGTTTACCCAGAATTCCACTGTAAAGCCATCAAGACAATAACTTGCCAAATTTGAGCTTTGGGTGTGAAAAGCTGTAAGTCTCAGTTCTTCTTGTGGTAGAGAAGCCGGGGGGGGGGGTGAAGGGGGTGGAGAGATGTTGCTTTGATAATGTAACCTTCCTATTCTGGATGAGAACTTCATCCTGGACGGAGGACAGATAGCAACCACCAGTGGCTACTCCTTCTGCTGTTCTGAGATTTTAATTTTTGCCTACATACAGTACAACTGTGTGCTCTTAGGAATGGATTTTTGGCTTAAGATGATGCAAGGAATCAGAAAGAAGTTATTATAAAGCAGCAGATAATATTAGGAGCTTAGTGCTTAAGTGTATGGTTCCAGGCTTTCAAGTACGCAATCCCCATACAAGGTTTCTTGTGACACCTTTGGGGAAAGAACAGAGCACTGAAATTACACGAGTTTAAATAAGTCCTTCCATCGTAACATGTTCTCTTCATTTTCTTTCCTTTTTTATTCTTGCCTTATCCCTCCTCCAAATAGCACACGTTTCCTTTTCCTTTCTGCTATATTAAAAACAGTTCCTATAAAGAAAACAAGGCACTTGTCCTCTGCCAATATATTTCACAGGGGGGGAAGGGATGCATTTCTGCCTAAATGATTGCACATATACCAGGCAAACATTATCAGCAAAGGGTTCTTACCATGTGATCCACTTTTGTCCAAAAAATTGCTGAGATTGAATAGTGTGTTTCTAGATGCCAAATACTGAATAAACCTCTAGGAGGAAGGGAGGAAAGGATAATATTAGTTGTATATGTCCTTCAACATTATCCTCTCACTATTTCATGACAAACCCACAAGCATGTTTCCTTCTAGGTGAAAACCCATGATAATCATATTATAATAAATGCCATGCCTTACACATCTCTTGCCAATTTGAATAATTCTGCCTGGAGTGGATACAGATGGCCCAGTGCACAAAACTAAAGTCTGCACTGCTTTCTTCCACACTAAAAAGACTTAATCAGACCATCCAGGGTTTTTGTGTGTGCTTAACAATGCAGATATAAGAATATATTCTAAAATGTCACTACTCATATAAATAAGATTCCAATATGCATATGGTCAATTGTGCAATTTAACCCTAAACACAGCAAGGCATCACATTTTTCACATGGCCAGAACAGTGCAAAGATTTTGGCTGGTGTTATGGAAACCCCTGAACCTAGAACTAAAATGGGTCTTTCTGGGCAAAATTGGTACAGGCATGAGTATTGCCATTTTCTTTATAAGTATCTGTCTCAGCATTTATTCCTATAATATTTTTACTGTAGTGAATTTTGGAATAAAGCTTTTAATCCCAGCAACTGAGTCAAGAATCCAAGATCCAAGTGGGAGCCAGGATATTACCAGAAACCCTGCTTCTCTGGCACTATGCAGGGCTCCTTTGGAAGGACAGGGAAGCCCCTTTAAGTGGGAGTTCATGCAACTATTTGATTTGGCCTCCTTGGAAGTCCTCTCTCAAAAGCTTGAGTGAAGGATAGCTTTAAGAAAATTTTGTGCACTTACCTCATTGCCATGAACCATTAGATGATGCGTTGCAACTAAGGCTTTGAACACAACCACCCAACTACTGTTTGTTGCTCTCTCAAAGAGTGTATCAGCCATTTGAGGAATATTGACATTTGTCTCATTTGTGGCTTGGATAAGATCTATTTTGGGAAAGGGAGAATGATAACTGCAAATACAGAAACTTTCAGTTTTGTTATTGTTAAAGACCATGCCATTGCAGTTTAGTGATGTAACAGTCACTCAATTTCACTACTACTGTTGGACTTTATTTAGAACAACCTCCTAAATAATTGTTTGCCTTTCACACATGATTGTCACAAGGGGATGTGCAAACATACCATAAAACAGCTAAAAATATTTTCTAAAACAGTAGATGGGTTTAAAAACAAATACAAAATAAAATGTAAGGCAAAGCCCTTTTAATCCAGCTAGGAAAGCTTGTCAAAACAAAAATATATTTGTTACCTCAGATCAATCACTACAGAAACAATTAAGATAGGAAACCAACTTTCCTCTGGACTGCCTACTACTACTAGCCAGAGACTATAAATGGGAGTGGTTCTTTACAAGCATGATCTGTGCCTGAAAGAGGAATAACCCTGTCCACAATTCAAATCATGTTGAAGTATAATAACTGAAGCTTAAAAGACGCAAATTGCCTTCTAGGCACTTCAAAAGGCTCCCTCCTTTTCCTTCTATTTGCTGTGGATCTTTCCTTTTATTTGCCATTTCAGGGTTCTGAAATCTGTGTTTGCCAGAGATGTGTTCCTTAACCATTCCCCCTAGTATCCCTTCCACCAGTCACTTCCACTCACTTGTCCAGCAAGTCTCTCCTCATTCCTAATTTGTGAGAAGGACAAGATCCAATATCCCTTCCTTTGCCATTGCCTCCATTGACCTGCTTTTGAAAGATGAGTCTCAGCTGACTTACCTGTGGTATGAAGTCAGTGGACATAAAGCACAATTATTTACAGTTATCCCCCCCCCCCTTCACTTACAACTAACTTCCCTCCTTGCACTACATTACTATGAAGGTGAATAAGATGGGAATTCATCCCAGAATTAAGCATTTATATTTCTAGCTCCGCAAGTTTGGGAAAGAAGAGGGAAAAAGTGACATGATTTTGAAGCTAGACTAAAATTAAAATGAAGTCAAAATCCTTCTATTTGCTACATTTCAGGCAGCTTTACCCATGCACTGGGCACTGTATCATTTGCCAAATTTAGCATCCAATGCATAAATAGTTTCACTATTATTAGCCAAATAAACCAATGGGCACAAAGCCAGTCTATCCATCACGGTCCAATTGCTATTTGCTGCAGCTATACCTGCAGAATATACCCCAGAAAACACAACGATTGTATTATCATCATCATTTATTAGTCACTTTTCTTTACAAAACATAACCTAAGGCGATCCAGACCAACTCCTCCCACATACTGATCTAGAAATGCCAAACAGAAATGCCAAGGGAAAGGATTACCCCCATGACAGTCTCTCCAAGTTATTAAGGGCAGTGAAATTTGTTCTGCTAATGTTGCAAGAGTCCCTATCCCTACCTTGACCAAAGAGATTCATGTTTTGACTCAGGAAACAAACAGCGTAATAGCCAAGAGGCACTGGCAGATGCACAGGAACTGCAGCTCAGATAGAGATACACCATGGTTCTGTCCTCACAACACATTGCTTGTCTAGCTTTTCATTGACAGATCCCAAAACAGGATTCAGTCATTAATTAAACTTCCAGAGAAGGTTGCTGAGCTACTTTTGAGCAATCTTGCATTCAAAAGGTCTCCATGCCCAGTTTGAGAAATGCTGCAGCAATTATTTATTTAAGTCTCAATTTCTGGGACTAACATGACATCTTTTTTTTTCAGCTACAGAAGTAGGCATAGATATGTAAGCAAGAGAATGGAGAGGGGGCAGGCTGAAAGGATGTTGGTGAAAGGAATTCAGCTCCAAATTTGAACAAGGCACATGAATGTAAATTGTCACTGTACTCTTCATTTATACTTCTTCCCTAGCAGAGAAAACGAGAAGCAGCATGGGAATTTTCAAGCCTCTAGCAGCAGCCAGCACATCAAATGCTGAAGCATAGCTTTGTGTCACCTCAGCTGACCTCGACAAAGTGCCACTCACTAGTCTGTTTCTTTCTTATGCTTTTTCTGTATTTTGCTTTGTGGTGGTAAGCTTAAGTGTACTTCTCCATTTCTACCAGTGCTCAGAGATTAGGGGTCACAGTCCTTGTCGCTGTTGTTGTTTCTAGTCTAACCTACTTTGCATCCCTCTGGCTTAGTGACGGAAGTTTCTTCTCGGGCACACCTACTCCCAAAAAAGCTTAACTTGTTTTCAGCCTCCCAGAGACAGACATACACAAATTAAGACACAAATTAGAATTTCTTTAATTTGGCACTAGTCCAAAACAGAAATACTCAAAGCAGCTTACAACAACCCAATGAAAACAAAACAATAATATTGCTCAAGGAATACAAACAAGTTCACAACTGTGACCCTTCAAATGTAAGGGTGCAAAGGTGTAGCAATATACCGTAATGGAAGCATTACAGACATCCCTCTAATTCAGAGAGGATTGGCTAGTACCTTCTTTATGGTCATTCTGGGACCTTTTCTTTCTCCCATGCCAAAGGGGGGGGGGATAAATGATCTTACCGTTTTGAACCACTATTTGTACTAGTTATTTTTTAATCACCTTGGTTTAGTCATCTCTCTAATTTTTAAGCTGGCAGTTTATTTTCTGATATTTCTGTTTTATTATTTATTTTAATTGTATTTTATCATTTCATTTGTGTGTGATGCCCAAAGCAAATGTTATTTGGCAACCCTTATATAAATATAGTAAATTTTAAAATTAAGTAGATGAGCCAACAGGGGTGTGGTTGTTCACTAGGCTACTTGTAAAAGAAAAGGAAGTTGCCACACAGCAGATTTAAATGATATAGAAGTATACTGATATCCTAATCGCAAGAACTAGGTGAGTAACATGTTATTGTGAAATAGGAATTAAAACAAACAACTAAATATGCACCTTCATTACCATAATTTTATTCTAGTGACACTTGCTAACATCTGGAGCTAAAGGAAGGTGCCTCACATCTTTTCCCCCATACCAATACAGTGGTACCTCGGGTTACAAACACCTCGGGTTACAAACACTTCGGGTTACAGACTCTGCTAACCCGAAAGTAGTACCTCGGGTTACAAACTTTGCCCCAGGATGAGAACAGAAATTGCGCGCTGGCGGCACAGCAGCAGCGGGAGGCCCCATTAGCTAAAGTGGTACCTCAGGTTAAGAACAGTTTCAGGTTAAGAATGGACCTCTGGAACGAATTAAGTTCATAACCAGAGGTCTCTTAATTACACAGTCTCAAATGGCAATTTTAGGTCTTTAAAAAAGGACATTCTGTTTCACTGCATTTTCTTGGCTAACAGTGATGAAATATTGTGCAATCTGCTCTAAATGTGATCTCGTTACCATCATTACCAAGGGTCTGCTGCATAATTAGTAGGGAAGATTTAGGAAAGTAAGGGCTCTAATTGTTGCACTCATAGCTTAAAAACAGCTCCTGCCGTCATTAGAGGCACGCTGTCTTATTAAGTCAGCCACAGGAGCTGTCCACTGTATTAAGTTCTGAATTTTAAGAACAACTAGCTCACCAGCTATCCGAAGACAATACTCACACAGGGCTTATGTCAACAAATGTCTGGTCCATTCTCACCATCTAATTCTATGTGAACGTCTTTAAAGCCAGAAGAAAACAGCAGAACTTCAGCTGCTATAGGAGTAGCTATGAAAGAACAGCAATAGTAAATGTGTGGCAGGCATACATGTACGGAAGTATGTGAGAAGAGGGACCACAAAGGTCAGAGCCCTAATTGCAGGAACATAAATGCTGTTTGCTATTCACAAACACCAGAATGCTACTTTAAACACTTGTATTGGACACCTCACGGAATTTAAGATAAAACACAATTTAAGTGGACATTTAGTGAATATTCTTGTAAAAGAAAATTATAACTGCCTTTTGAAGGAATAATATTCTGGTTTTCCTGCCTAATTTGCTTTAGGTATTCATGCTGCTTAAATATTCATTTAAACATTGTAAATTTACACAGGTAAATTTATGGAAATAGTGTCATACATTTACTCTAATATATTTTTGACAAACAGTGCTTCTATTTTTAGTGTTGGCATTTGTTTCCATTCTATTTTTGTTTAGGCTAGTTAGCAACACATCGCCTATGTAGATCTAAGTAGGTAAACTATCAGACCTAGAATGAAATGTTATTTTCACCAGAAAATTTGTGCATCCTTTAATAAGCACTGTAAAACACTTGAAGCAAAAACCAGGCAGGGGCTACACTGATGAGTTATGCTTGAAGAAATGCAAAATGCAAAATGCCTCAAGGTCCAAAACAGTTAAGTCACCTGCAGCTAGTTACTGATTGGCTGTCAGGTCTCTGAACAGAGTCATGTCTTGCTAATATTTCACTTATAGTTTTCAAAGTAACAACTGTGCCCCATTTTCTACAAGTCCATAAGGTCTATGTAAAATATTCTTCTGCCAGTAGAAGAAGAGTCTACCTTTTTTAGAGTGAGAATTGGTGTGCTGGTTAAACTAATGCACCATGAGCCACATAGGTTTCAGTTTAAATATCACTGAGTTATGAAAAGCAGTTTATACATTACGCAGAATCAAGTGGCAAAACTTCTTTATGACTGTCCCAACTTCAGACTACAAGTTGGGAGGGACAGAAGAGATTCTCTACTACCTGCTAACGCGATGGAAAAAACTCCCTCTTGCAGAAATGGTACGTTAGTGAAAGGGATTCAGCACAGCTTTCTTGCTGGAATACTAATTATCTGACATGCAGAGAGTTTCTTTCCATGAGATAAATATGCTAACATGCAACCTCAGCCCTACTAAAAAAGTACAATGCAGGAAAAGCTTAAACACTTGGTTCTGCTCCTTATACAAACTGACTCTTATTAGCTGACCTTTGTCACAGAAAATCTCTTCTGTCTGTAATATGTAGATGACAATACCAGCCTATCTTGCGGGTTAATGTAAAAAGAGATTGAGAACTTATGCAAAGTACTTCTGGTAGTTTCTGTTTTTACTTCACATTTACAAAAGTAGCAGCATTATTTGGTTGGAGCAGTCATTTGACAAAAGCAAGAACTAAATTTGGACTAAATTTGATGGGACAGGGTTTCTTCTTTTCAATATGTAAAGTAGCTAGACCAGGAAGCCTACACAGTAGATTAGCTATTATGACAATTATTTAACATATTATGACACCAGCAACTACCTGGCAGCCCATTTATTCTCTCTAAAATTATACTGGCAGTATTCCAACATTTTATACTGTAAGTAACAGCAAAGGCCTTACAATGATCAAGACCTCTACTCCCCGGGCAGCCTAGTTTCTGCAGACCCCTTGTGGCCATCCCCGGCAGGAAAGATTTGTAAGAGATGGTGAAAAGGTGACATACGCAATATACATCTTTAATGATTTGTATGAAGCACCTTTTTCAAAGAGCATCAGGACTGTGATGCTTGCAAACAAGATCTAAAGTCAGAGAGCTCATAAGGACTCATTCAAGGAGCAGCAGTCTACCATCAGGTCCCCATGCTGGCCACTTATCATTCTGTCTTGTCCCTAGGTCCTGCCACTGAAGCCAGAAGATGGTGGTAGTGGTGGGACATGGTTTGAACTTCAAGAATGCAAAAGTAGTACAACACGTTGCACTGCACCAGTTGTTCTCTCAGCCTTGCCTCACTTTGAGCCTGACTTAACAGTTCAGATACATATCCGAACCACACTAGTAGTTGTCAAGAGTTCAGCTATATGCAAGAACAGAGCACAGCATGCACTGCTCTCATTGCCAATGCATGGGCTAGACTCACTAACAAGCTCATCTTTTCTGAACCTCCTTTTGATAACCTGTTTTTAACTGGCCTTTTAATAACTGTGAATGTTACTGCCTTTGTCAGTTTTGATTGTTTTGAGATAGGATTTGTTTTTGTTTTTATAATAGTGTGAGGCACCTTGGTGAGCTATGCTTGCCCAAACTAATGTTCCAGATAAAATAATGAGGCAAGTGGCTAACTGCAAAATCTGACTTAGTTGGTGTTGCTAATGATGCTGCTACTAATGATGCTACTCCACCCATTCTAGGTCTCCATGAAATAAAAATTAATCCACTTGATGATTGAATTACATATTATAAACACCCTAGAAGAGTTCAGAAATACAAGTTGTTGCTATCTATACACAACCAAAGAACAGGAGAAGAGAAGTATTAAGCACTAGAAGCATACAGTTCCCCCTGCTTGTTGGAGGAAATTGGAAGATTACACTACTGCAGTGTAAGCACTATTTAAGACAATCTAGGCTTTTGTATGCCTGGACACAGAACAATGACTTTGGAATCAAAGTTTACTTAATCCCAAGGTCAACCAAATTAAAGTCTTATCAACAGATATGTCCTTCCAAATCTACAGAGTCTAAGCCATTTAGGGCTCCAAAGGCCACAACTAACACCATGCATTGCAGGAGTTCAGCAATGAAGGCTTCAAACCATATGTACCAACTCACATGTAAACACTTCCCCAATGTAGAACTTATTACCACAGTGTACTCTTAACATTGCCAGGTTACATGATCACTGCCTGATCTAAGACAAGATCCTTAGAGACCAACTAAGTTTGTTATTGGTATGAGCTTTTGTGTGCATGCACACTTCTTCAGTTACACTGAAACAGAAGTCACCAGACCCTTATATATAGTGAGAGGGTGGGGAGGGGTATTACTCAGAAGGGTGGTGGGACTGGACAAACAGGCCAAACCCTATGCCAAAGGATAAATGGACATAAATCTGACATCAGGAATCACAAGACCAAACCAGTAGGAGAACACTTCAGTCTTCCAGGACATTCTATACAAGATGTCAAAGTAGCTGTCATATTACAAAAGAATTTCAGAAATAGACTGGAAAGAGAAGCTGCTCAACTGCAACTTATTACCAAACTTAAAACCATGGAGAGAACTGGTCTGAATAGAGACATTGGATTCTTATCTCATTATACTTGATTTAGCCATCTTACCCCTTGCTTTTTCTTGCAAGACCAATAGCAGTCTTTAACAGTCATCAACAGGTTTAGCACACCTAAGCCAACCACCCATTCCCACCACCCTTCTGAGTAATACTCCTCCCCACCCTCTCACTATATTTAAGGGTCTGGTGACTTCTGTTTCAGTGTATCTGAAGAAGCGTGCGTGCACACAAAAGCTCATATCAATAACAAACCTAGTTGGTGTCTAAGGTGCTACTGGAAGGAATTTTTTTATTTTGTTCCTTAAAGAATGCACTTGAGTTCTTCATACAAAACAGACAAGGGCTTTCTCTTAGTCTTGAAAGTTTTTCAAGAAAACAGATGTTTAAAGATTGTACCAAGTTGAGATGTCACCCATTTCTGCCCCTACTTTCCTAAAATTGGGGAAATGCAACTGGACCCAGCTGCTCCATGCATGCTTCCACATTTGTACACAGAAAGAAAGAACTTTCAAGTATTATTAGCAGGTATACACTCACAGTTATCCATTAAAATATAACCATTGAGATTATGGCCTCTAAAGCAACTCTTCATATTCTAAAAATGACAACTTGATTACTGGCATTTTAGTTGTTGTTGTTGTTTTTTTTTTTTTTTAAAAAAGGCTTCCCAGAAATTTTCTACTTAGGTTTTCTTCCTAGATGTCATACCTCATTTATGAGGGACAGCCAAGTTTCCATTACAGCCTAAAGTGTCATGACTGAAACATGCCTTGAACCCCAAACAGAAGGTACTTATATTGTCAAATTATTGCTTTCAGTGGCACTCTCTCTCAATAATGCATGCAAAGAAGCTGCCCCTTCCATGCTAAACCAACATGAGAGCTACAAAAAGGCAGTATTGCTTGGTGCATGCTATTATTTAGTGCCTAATGCTTACATCAGCCAGGCTCCCTCGTCAGTAACCACTTGTTTAGCAAAGCTTCTCCTAAACCTCCTTATGCTGACCTTTCCTGCCAACTGCATTATTTCATGTATCAATCCTATGCCCTGCTTTTGGCTGGCAACCTGGAGACTCCCTCTTCAGTTAGGATGGCTTCTCACACTACATTAAATACACTTGGCACCAAGTGTACTTATTACTTTTAAGCCAATTTTTGGTCCCTTCTAGAAACCCGCCATCTATGCACTGCAGCCACCCGCAGTGGAACCAATGTGAAAGGTAGTCTTGTGGGACAAAAATGTGAAACACTCATAATTAAGGATGGAAGGAGCAGAGAACTACCAAAGGAGATCAAGTGTTTTACAGGTGCCTCTGGATGAACACTGTGCTCCTGCATGCCACACAACACACAGGACCCCTTGCTTTTCAGGATCCTTATCTACGGAGGGCTAGTTGCCCGGTTTCAGAGAATGGCAGGTTCTACCATTCTACAATTGCCATGTTTTATAGGAATGAATATTAACCATTTATTCATGTGCAAGGAAGTTAATCACTGACCTAGCTCCTGCTGGCAATGCCCATTCCATATACTGAAGCGGTAGATAATATGGGCATCTCTCTCTCCCCAATTTGCACACCAGAACTGTATCCTAGATTGCAGCTTGTTTACTTTCTTTCCGACTGAATTAAATTGCTGCATGTATCTCGGTTTAAGAGCCTTGTGTACGCATTTCATCCTTGCACTACCCCTTCCCAGCGTGCCACAGTTAACCAATGTTTCCTGTTATGTATGAACTGGGAAAATATGCTTCCCAAGACTGAAACAAGTCAGTATCTTAAACATCAACTTTAGATGATTTGATATCCTGAATTATTCTGGTTTTCCAATTCAGACCCAACAGGAAATTAAGGCCATGCATCTCACTGTTTAGTAAGCTGAGACATACTCCAAAACAGGCCAACAAGTGCTTTCTAGAACTGCACAGCCCAAGCCTTGAGTCTACTTCTTGGTCACTCTTTCCTGTGACAAAGAATGAACCCAAGAACTGGGTTTCATTTATGGGACAAATGATACCTCCTCAAATAATGGTTTGTACCTCTCGCCTCTAAAATTCTGACCTATATCAAATTAAACCTCTAAGGACCATCAATTAAATTACCTTTTGCAAATTTACTCAATTTGTATAATTTATGGAGAGTTGCAAAATTCAGATTGGCTGCAAACATAATTTAAAGCTTGTTCCCAGGACTACCAGAAAGTTCTTCATAGATGAAGGTGAATTTCGGCTACAATCCTAAGCACACTACCTAGGAAACAAGTCCTATGGAGAATAGTGGAACTTACTTCAGGGTAAACATGCTTAGGATTGCAATTAGCTTCACAATCCGCTTAGAACATTAAAGTCCAGACCTGAGTCTAGAAAGCTTGTTTCTGTGCACATGTGGAGCTTTTTTTCCACTATAATCTTTTAAAAGCATCTCTCATACTGCTTCTAAAGATTTTATGAATTAGAAGTTTGAGAGTGTGAGAAGCTGCATGCACACACATATATGTTTTTCATTTGTATCTGGATGCAGACCAACGAATACATTGTAGAATTTGGGGGGCACTCCCAGACCACGTCATTTCTGAAATTACATGCACTACTGAAATCATGTTGACTAAACTGCTCCTTAATGTTTTAAATGCTCCTCAAACTGCAGTTAACCTCCAACTTCCTCCTCCTCCTCCTCTTTCCTTCTTGCAGACAGCATACAGAGAAAGAATGCAGGTGATCATTCTCAAAGTGCTATCTGAATCACTGATATTATCTACTCATACTGCTTCAGTGGCCATCTCAATAATTTAGCCCTGACCAAATATCTTACTAAGCAATTTGAATTCAGCATCTTAAAAAAGAAAAACAAACCAACAACAAAAAAAACTCCACACATTATTATTGATCACTCTGCCACCACCATTTGTAAATCCAGGGGCAACAAGCTTATGACTTCTTCTGAAGATAAGCAATCATTATCATGAAGATGACATGGTAAGCAACAAACAAGAAAACTGCTAAATCCTTCCTGCTGCACTCCTCTCCAAGCAACAGCAGGAGCAACAAACCACAAACCTTGACTTACCATGATATCTGAACCAGTGCCCAAGGTTTGTTTCTCCCAAACAAGTCACAACCAGGAAGCCAGTAAGAAACCTTCACTCCAGATTGTGGTTTATTTGGAGAAAAACAAATCATGAGCACCAGTTTAGTCATCACAGCAAGCCAAGGCTCATAGTTTGTTGATTCCACTTGCAATAGGGAAAGAGAACAGTGGGAATGATTCAAAATAGAAATTCAACAGGGGTACATACTGTGGCTCTGTTTCCACACCAGGGTAAAAATGTGCGTCGCGTCTTGGATCCACACTGCTAAAGAGTTTTCTATTTTGAGATATCTTAATGATGATCTGAACATATCACCCTTCAGACATCTAGGTTCTATTACTACTTACACATAGGCACCCCACTGCCTCTTGCCTTCCACTGTTCTTCACTGTTATGATGCCCGCTGGGGCACCTTCTCAACTCAGTGCCCAGTGCCAGCAAACTGGCCACGCTCCCCTAAATCCATCTCTGTCTGCCTTAGAGGGTAGTTTGGAAACTTCAGCTGGTGCAGATTCAGCAGCCAGATTGTTTACCAATGCAAGATGATCTGAACATATCACACCCATTGCAGCATAACCACAGTGGCTTCTAATTATTTTGTGCTCTCGATTAAAGGCACTGGCTTTGACCTATAAAGCCTTATGTGGCTCAGGTCCCCAATATTTTCCCCACACGAACCAGCATGGATGCTGCATTCATCATGTGCTCCCTCTGAGGGAGCTGTGGACAGTTTTGACAGGCCTTCTCAGTGGCAGATCCCCACTAATGGAATGCTCTCCCTAGGGAGGCATGCCAGGCATCATCATTACCTATCTTTAGGCGCCAGGCAAAAACATTCCTTTTCCAGCAGGCCTTTTAATTACCTGTGGTCTCCTTAAGTGGGGGTGTCCTCATCCTCTCTTTTTGTATAAATATGAGTACATTTTTAGCTTTTGCTCTGATTTTGCTTTATGTTGCTCTTAAACTATCTGCTATATTTCTGTAAGTTGCCTTCAGTTACTTTTGGTTAAGAGCGGTGGACTCATAATCTGGTGAACCGGGTTCGTGTCTCCGCTCCTCCACATGCAGCTGCTGGGTGACCTTGGGCTAGTCACACTTCTTTGAAATCTCTCAGCCTCACTCACTTCACAGAGTGTTTGTTGTGGGGGAGGAAGGGAAAGGAGAATGTTAGCCGCTTTGAGACTCCTTAGGGTAGTGATAAAGCGGGATATCAAATCCAAACTCTTCTTTTTGAAAAAAATTAAAGGGGGGGGTCTACCTAGTTGAATTAATCGTGCTCATCCCCACAGTAAACCATTCATAAAATGCTAGCCTAACAGCCTATTTGCTTTGCTCTCATTTCTTTCCTCTACAAGGGAAGTGCTTATCTCTGGAGAGTTACTGTGGAAATCCCAGTAGTGTGCCTTCTGCCACATGTACATTCATTCTATTATTTACTTGCCTTCTCCAGCACAACAGCCAGCAACCATTAAAATTCAACTTCTGAAGGACTGTTTTCTGAGAAACATGTTCCAAACCATGGAATGCAAAAACAAAAACTAGGGCACACATAAAAAAGTTGTAGAGGGTCACAAATTACTATATGCACATTTAGGACCCTGCTTGTGTTTACTTAAAAAGGGGAGGGGAGGAATGCAAGTCTCAGATTTCCCATCACCACTCTAAGTTTAAACATGTCTGTCTCTTTCCCCAGTGGCATTGGTGCTTTTCTGAACTATCACATTCAGCCACTTTTAATAGCCCTAAGTCATATAGCATCTTTCCCCATATTTCTAATGTGGAAAGATGCTATATGATTTAGAACTATTAAAAAGACAGGTACCTTTAAAAAAGAAAAAAACTTCCCCTAGGTTGCAAAGCAGGTCTCTTGAGATGCTTCACTATCCATACTATAGCAGGACAGATGTTGCTCAAGCATCTAGAAATGGAAGACACCACATTCCACTTATCAGAGAATCTGGGTTTACTTTCCCTTTGAAGTCAGGGCATTGACAATACCCTGAACCTCCCCACTCTGTCCCATATTCTGCTGCTCGTAAAGGCAGAACCAGGTAAGCCTCTTCAAGGTACGCATTTTAAGTCACATTTGCTCCTAGAGGCATCATACTTTTTCCTTCCCCACCTTTTTAATTAATACCACATTATTACACTTTGTAGCCAAGGCCATTATACATCAAACAACCTGGTATATCAAGAAAAAAAGGAAACAAGGGAAAGAGAAAAGCAAATAAAAATGGCCTTTGAAGGCAAAAATGAGCAGGATAGCAAAAAATAAAAAGAGGAGGGGACAGTGACTAGATTACAAGGAAAAATAAGATCATTTTACATTTTTGGAATCACAATGTAGACACATCACTCTCTTGTGAGGCATTCTGGGGTCTCAAGAGGCATCGACTGTGGCCCCATAAGCTCAGCAATGTGGTGGCTAGCCAAGATTTCTTAGCCCCTGTCCTATTTCACTACACTGTACTGTTCCCTGCTCCTTGCCACTGTTCACACCTGAACCCCCAATGGTGCTGCCACCTTACTGTTATTAGAAAAGCAGAGGCTACCTTTGTAGTTTCTCCCAATTTTGACTCCTGTGCCTTAAAGAGCAGTGTGCAAGCTCCAAGATCCCTAACACAAATATTATTCTCCAAATGCGTCTCCCCAGTCTTTCTCCTTTTTGCTATTACAAAACAGAGGAGTTTGTTCAAGAGCATACATAAATTTCCCCATAACTTGATTACAATTCCGCCTTGTGCTTCTTACTTACAAAGTTAATCTCATTTCTCCAGAAGTATATTGCTCCCCACCCCAAAAACCGCATGGCCAACATCTACAGCAGTAACTGATTACATGAATCTTCAGGACATACATCTTAATTTATTTAATGCAGATGAAGTGGGAATATGTATTCCTGGGCCAACAGCATTGCCACTCACCCATCTCAGTATTTCTAAGGCTACACATCTAGGCATAATTATTCACATTTTTCACTGAATTCAGTAAAATTTCTTTCCAATTAAAAATCACAGCGAACATGTGTGGATGGTTGGGTGGGAGAAGCTTATTATCTTCACATATCAGGCCAAGAAGATTAGGGATGGAAACTTAACTTCACATGTCACCATGTTTGCATGTTTATATGTTAAAAAGGTCACGACAATAAGGCTAGATGGAGTTGCTTAAAAGATTACATTATCCTGCCTTTTGGATTCCTAATATAATGTAGTTACCGTGAAATGTGGTCTGATAGTCAGACAATAGCCAGGAAAGGTTAAGTCCCAATGCATCAATCACTGCCTATAAGGTTGTCAGCTGGCAATTTCAATTACCTCTGTCTCTAAACAGATCTGCAGGTGCAAAAAAAGAGGATGTGGTCACTATTTCTACTATGCCCCTGGTTTTTAGGTTCAATATTTGAAGTTTTTAAACAATGTCAGGCTAATCATTAAACTATGCAGCTTTTCTATACAAAGTGATTACATCAAGGGAGCTAAACAAAACCCAGTTGGATGCCAAAGAGTAACAGTGCAATCCTATTCTGCTAAGTGAGGATAGGATTGCTACTGCATATTCCGCTGCACCCAGAGAAGGTGATGCTATGCCAGTGTAGTGAATTTACACCAGCATGACCCTATGCTGCACAGAGAAAGTCTGGCTGGAGTCAGGGGCATGGTGAGAAGTGTTGTACTATTCTAGGAAAATGCATAATTTAGTCTCACTTCTAGAGATTTCATAATGCTATCAGCACCACAAGAAAACACACTTCAAGTCAATGGAGACCCAGAAATAGGCATGCAAACCCCTATTTCCCTCACCCATCCCATATTAGAGAACAGAATGTGGCACAGGGAACAGCTGTAGCTCAGGAGCCAAGCGCATGCCTTATATGCAGGAGATCCCAGGTTTAAACCCTGCCATTTCCAGGTAAGTCTATCTCAAAACTTGGAGAGTCACTGGCAGCCAGAGTGGACAGTATGGATTTAGAGCCCAAATGTGGGTCTCTAGCTGTTTTTGGACTACAATTCCCATCATCCCTGACCACTGGTCCTTCTAGCTAGGGATGATGGGAGCTGTAGTCCAAAAAACTGCTGTAGACCCAAGTTTGGGAAACACTGCTCTAAATCCATACTGTCCACTCTGGCTGCCAGTGACTGCAAGTTTGGGAAACGCCGATTTAGAGAAACCAATGGTCCTGACTTGGCATAAGGCATCTTCCTATGTATCAGAAGTTCACTCCACAATAACTTAGAGCAGGGCTTTCAATGTGGCTGCCCCCTGTTCTGTCAAACAGCATTCCTGTCAATATGCAACAGACACCCACTATCTGCACTTTCCAGAAAAAAGTCATTTTTTGTTCTGACAAGCTTTCCCAGCTGGATGAAGGGGTCTCTGCTTTGTATTGTTTTTAATTTCATCTTCTGCCAGTTTCTATGCTGTTTTAGCCATTCTTATCATATTTTCTACATAGCCTTGTGACATTTGTGGAAGACAGATAACCATAATAACAAAATTATTATTATTATTATAATTAATAATAATAATAATAATATACTTATATGAGCCCTAGCAAATGAATACCAATCACATAACAAGCATGGCACAAGTTTTATGTTGTTCTGCCCAAAGAATCAAAACACACACAGGTCCCACTATCCAAACACTTGTTATTGAAACATTCACATGTTATTGAAACATTCACATGAGGAATTAGTACCCAAACCTCATTATACACACCACAGATTCAGATATCCAAACAGCCAGACTTAGGTGTAGTACTGTAAACAAATAAGCAGCCTCATGTTTTGCTGGTTTGCAGCAGGAGTTTCACCAGAAACCATGGTGGGAAGTGGGAGAAATCAGACAAATCTTTTTTCAGAGGGTTGTCCTGGGTTTCCCAGTTTTGTTTTTGTTTTTTGTTTTGTTTGTCATTTTGGGGTCCGAATTCCATGGTCGGAATGCATGATAAAATTCCCCCATAGGAATCAATGGAAATCATCTTCTCATTAAAAGAACGCTCACCTAACAAACGATTCTTGGAGAATGCATTGTGTTCAGATAGTGAGACCTGCTTGGATACAAATGTACATCTGGAAGACTTTGTGTACAGTGCTCTCTATCACAGCTCATTACTTAAAGGAAGGGCCTGCACAGACAGCTATGCAAAATCAACAATAAAGAAGGAAGTGAAGAGTCATAACACTTATCCATCTCAGCAACAGAATATTTTGCCCTGAGAAGCTTGTGCTCTACAGATCCTACCTCCTTCAGCCCTATAGAGTGTGGCAAGTGTGAATGGAAGGGGACACATTTAACCATGACATTGTCCCTCTTAAAAGAGTTATCTGCAGTCTGCCACCAGCTGCCAAGGCATCTGAACTCCTGACCCTGTACTAGAACTTGTGGCTGCAGGTGTGTGTGCTTGCTTGTCCTCCTAACCCAGCCTTCATTAACCTGGTGCCCCCCAAATGTCTTGGACCACAGCTCCCATCAGTCCCAGCCAGCAGTTACAGAATGCACCTGTGCAATGTGCACAGGAAGATGTAACAGGGCCCTGTGATGTCATCATGGTATCCCTTCCATTCACATACAGTGGTGCCCCGCAAGACGAATGCCTCGCAAGACGGAAAAACCGCTAGACGAAAGGGTTTTCCGTTTTGAAGTTGCTTCGCAGGACGAATTCCCCTATGGGCTTGCTTCGCAAGACGAAAATACCTTGCGAGTCTTGAGATTTTTTCGCTTCCCCCCCCCCCTTATCTAATCTGCTAAGCCTTTAATAGCCTTTAATAGCCTTTTAGCAGCTAATCCCCAAAGCCTTTAAGCCTTTAATAGCCGCTAAACCGCTAATAGCGCTAATAGCGCTAATCCGTCAATGGGCTTGCTTCGCAAGACGAAAAAACCGCTAGACGAAGACTCTCGCGGAACGGATTAATTTCGTCTTGCGAGGCACCACTGTATATTGTTGGTGCCTTCTCTGTGTGGGTTCTATGGCAGTACTGATGAGCAACTTCATTACGGATGATGGGAGGAGTTCCTAGAGATGTTGTGTGCAGGTTGATGTCTGTGGACCTTCTCATTTCTACTGGTGTTGTTTAGGTTTCTATTTTGCTGTGTTGAGTACAGAAGATCAGAACTACTCTGTCCTTTGCTGCTCGCAGTATTTAGGATTACAAACTGTAATATGAGGGCCATAAAGTAGGATTAGATGGCCCAACCATGGTCTAGCCATTTTGACTACAACTCCCTGCAATATAGAATGAAGGCCAAATGAGTGCAGAATGAAGATCTAACACAATTAAGGATGGCTGCACAAAATAACACAACTAAGAGCACTACAGCGATTTCATTTGGGATGAGTGGTGCATGTGACATTCTTTAAAATTTTCATCTTTCCTACCCTTCATTAACGATACACAATGGAACTATTACAATGAACAAGAATCATTCAGTTTTGCCATGATCAAACCAACCTCTCTGTAGAGATAATCTCCACATTACAGCAACTCAAGTCAACATCCACCCTCATCTAAACTCATTTGCCCAAAGCATGGCCAGAATACTTTTGCAGTTTCCAAACAGTCACAGGCCTTCCATTCTCTCTCTGATACATGCACCTGTCCTAAAACCTGAAGGTCAAAATGAAGCAAAATAAGGGGACTAAGTCGTTTCTGAGGTGTTATATTGCTACAATAAAAAGTTCATTTTTTAAGCACTTCATTTAATTCTTATGGCAGAAGAAACTGATTACCCAGAGGGCAATGGACCCCAGGAGCACAGAACCACACAAGATTCCCTAGCCCTCCACACATGAACCACTTATATAAAAAGATGCTTACAGTCCAGGTGTTTTTTCTTGGGCCCCATTACTTCATGTGTGGTTGCTTTGCAGACGGCTCTAGCTACAGCTGATCCTGTAACGCTGTACTGAGCAGCTGCGATGCGATCTGTCAGCGTCTGACCCGACATCTTCGGCTAATTCTAGGACTGCTACCACTTCTACAAGGGGAGGGGGGAAGAAAAACAACTGAGGGGAGGATAATCTTTTTAAAAAGGATATATATATATATGTACAATTATTTAACTAGAGAAAGCTGATTTCTAAATCCTGGCTCATTCCAGGTTCCCTCCTTTCTCCCACGCCACCTCCTCTGTTGTGTAAGTGTTTGCATTGCAACTATATCCGAGAGATTCTGGGGGCATTGTAGACGAAACAGAAATATGCCCACATAATAATACTGTGTATGAATTCCGAGGGTGAGTGTGTGTGTGTGGGGGGGGGTGTCCTTTCCCTTGCCTGCCTCCCTTGAGTATGATGGCGGTTCCTGCAAACCACTATGTATCTCATCTCTCTTGTTTATGGGGGGTGGGGAATAAATGAAGCTTTCTCCCTCCCCTCCCCGCAACCTCACAGAAGATCCCCCAGCCCTGGCCTTCCTGACAGAGCCCCAAGAGGGCCCAGGGACTGAATTATCTAGCCAGTCTACAACACGGCCCTGTCACCACCGCTCCCTCCTGCTGCTGGCGGGGCTTCTTACTGCAGCAACGGGATTCTCTCGCCTTCCTCCCTGCGTTTCTACCTCTCTCTCTCTCTCTCTCTGGTGGGAGATTATCATATCATTGCGCCATGTTATGCCCTCTCGGTGCCTTTCCCCCAGCCAGCTCTGTCTTGAAGACAACCGCAGGCCGCCGGTTCCCAACCTCAAACCACCCCACCCCGGCGATCTCTCACACCCCGCAGCCCCCCCGCTTCCCCTCCTCTTCCCCCTACCCTCTCCAAGCCGCTTGTCTCCTTCTCCTCGCCCTCTGCAATGCAACCCTCCCCTTTTTCCGGGGGGGGGAGAGGAACGACAGCAGAGGCGGCGGCGGCGTTTGGCTAGTAGTCTTGCATATCTGCATCTCTCCCTCCCTCCCTCCCGTCCCCCCACCTCGCCCCGGGGATTACCAAGCAGCGCCTAGCCAGGCCTGCTCTCCCCGTCCCCTCCCCGGAGAATGTGGAAGTGCCCGAGGCGGCGGCAGCAGCAGCAGCAGCAAACCTGTCAGTGCGTCCGCGTCCTTCTGGCGACTGCCGCGCCTCTGCTCTGCCCCTCGCGGTGCTGCTGGCGCTGCCTCCTGCTCGCGAGGAGGCCACGGTCTCTCCTCCTCCGCTTGTCCCCCCCCCCTCCACCCAACACGCTAACCTCTCTCGCCCCCGCCCGCTCGCAGCTGCGCCGAGCCCCCCTCCGTCCGCACCGGCGGCCCCCTTTGCTCCAGAGCGCGGGAAAGGCGCGCCCTGGGCGCACACGCCGCGCCCTCAGGTGCAGGGAGAGCAGGGATGCGCTAAGGCCGGAGCGGGTGCCGGGGGAGCTCTCCACGCCCGCCGCCGCCACCGCCACCGCCGCTATTTCTAGCCTAATCCCCGGTTGCCTAATCCCCGGTTGCGGCCACAAACCTTCCCTGTGGTGCCACTGCTAGGATGCATGTATGCGTGCAATACGCAACCCCCGACGCGCGCTCTCTCTCGTGTGTGTGTGTCTGTGTGTGTGTCTGCGCGCGCGCACACACCTCGCTCCCTCCTTGCCTTTTCTTGCCGGCTCTTCTTGCTCGTTCCTCACGGGGCCTCGCAGGTTTGTGGCTTCTTCGGAGTCAGGTGACTCGGAGCAGACGAAGCGGACAGCCCTCTAGGGGGCCGTAAGAACCGGATAAGGCCTCCCCCCCCCAACACCCCCCGCGCTCTTAAAAGGGACACCCCTCGCGGGCCGCGCGGTGGGAATCTCCCCGCCTTGGAAAAAACCGCGCGCCCAGTCGTGGGAAGGGCAGCTGCTGACTGTTGAGAAACCGGGGTGGCGGCGCCCCTCTTCCTTCCCCACCACCAGCCCAATAGTTTTACTATATACTGTACGTACATCGGTGTTATTCGGCATACCTGTATTTTTGTTTGGGGGTACCTTTCACTTCAAATATGTGAAAATATAGCAAGATCTCTCCCCTTTGGACTGTATTATTTCTAATTAAGTTAGCATATTATCAAACCATTTTGTAAAGAGCCAAAGGAACACAAGTGAACAGCAAAGAACCTGCACAAGCAACGCTGACACCAAACGCTATAGTAAGTAAAATAGAAACATGCCACCCAACCCCAACCCCACCCATCTTCCCCCCTCCACCTCTTTCCCCCTTTTCTTCCTAATGTCTCAACAAATGAAACTGATTTGTAAAAAAAGTTACATGGGGGAAATACAAGAGAGACATTGCACACACTTTTGTAAATCAAGAAAATCTTTAATAAAATAAAAATAAAGAGCTAATATCTGATTTGCCTGACTCTACCAGGCTCCTTCACATTTCATCTTCTTTCTTGCCATTACAGATAAACATTATTAGCTGTGTAACCAGATGGATGAACAATTAACATAAAGCTGCAGTCCTAAGTGTGCTGCTTGCTATAGGACTCATTGAGCTCCATGGGAATCGCTTCAGACTGGGTAAAGGTGCTTAGAATGGCGCTGCAGGTATGTTCATAAATAGTTCTCATATGAAACAGCTTCAAATTATAACTTCCAGTGCAACTATAAATGCTTTCTAGCCACTTAAGTTGTACTTCAAATTGTATTATAATAATGACAGAGTTCCTCATTATTTTCAAACGTCTTTGCTTTTGTAATCACCTGCGATTGTAGTTAAACTCAGAAAATTGCTGTATTTTAAGAACTCAGAAACTGAAATTGCACTATCATGATGCTACATTTCATCTTTCCCCGTAATGACAAATTGAGCAGCAATAAGAGCTCGTAAGTCATGAGTGAAGCGGTGCTGCGGAAGGGAGGCATGTTGGAAAGATGTGGATGCATCTCATTAGTCACTTTATTAAATAGACCTGAGTCAGTCTGGTACCAGTTGCAGTGGTTTATATTTGCTTACTTTTTCCTGGATAGGCCCCCTGATGTTGTCTGAAAATCCCAAAACAATTTTGCTCTTGAATAGTCACTTTGAATTTAATCCAGAGATGGTATCCTTCAGCTCTAGAGTTCTTGGTTTCAGGATGTACAGCTTGCTTATAAGATAACAGTAAATGTTGAATTATTTTACAGTTGCAGTGGCCTCTTAATTTTACAAACTAGCAAAATACCAGTCCTTATAATGAGCAGGAGCCGAGGTGTGAGGTGAAGTCATATTGCAAGGAGAAATCCTATTCCGCTGAGAAGTGCAAAGCTAGAACATGAGGCTGTTCTTATAGTGCTGGGATGGAAAAGGCAGGTTTTCCCACCACCAGCAGCTGATTAGGTCTGGTTTATTAAATTTCTACATTACTCCACACTATAAAAAGTCTTGAAGCCATTTGCACCTAGGAGTAAGAGCACAATTAATAGAAATACATATGAATTGTTCTGGGGCAGGAAGTAGGCTGTGTGCGAAACTCTTCTAACTCCTGGATCCAGCAAGTGTTAAGGCAGGCTAGCTTCCTGTGTTGAGGTGATAGCTTTAGTGATGGGCCATTAAAGGCGGGGAAAGGGAAGGGGGCTTTGTGAGAGATGGGCAAATGGTGGTGTTCCTTCTTCAACTCATATATGGTTAGAAGGACAAAGCCTGAGTTAGGAGTTGGAAGTTGCAATAATGTGGGCCAGAAGAGAAATGGCAAGCTGGAGAGAGTGTCAGAACAATGTTTGATTTCTGTTTGAATCCAAAGCTGTGGCTATGGGAGAAACAAGACCATATATAAATAAACCATATATCATAAAGCCACCACAGTCTCTATTGTGGCTCATTTCCAAAATGAAGCACAAAGTGCCTGGAACCCCTGGAATCTCACACCACTTAGAGCAGGCATGGCCAAACTTGCTCCTCCAGCTGTTTTGGGACTACAACTTCCATCATCCCTAGCTAATAGGACCAGTGGCCACGGATGATGGGAATTGTAGTCCCAAAACAGCTGGAGGGCCAAGTTTGGCCATGCCTGACTTAGAGAGTGAGGTAGCATGTAACAGTATATTAAAAATACAGTAAGAAACAGAACATCCTACCAGTTAAGTCCTTGAGTGCTACACTTGGAACCGTACACCATTGATTTGTAAAAAGGCATTGATCTCTTTCCTAATGATTTAGCATGCATTTTGTAATTTGCAATATGTATGCATTTATATGTCTTTATTATGTATAGTTCTAACATGTCCTTCAGTGATCTGTGATGCCATTAGGGCAGCTAACAGATCTAAATTGCCGAGAGCATTGCAATATACAAATTATAACATCAAATAACATTTTAAAATAATCATAACAATACTGTAGGAAATATATAGTGTTTGGGAAAGGACTGTTATTATGATGGCTATTTTATTATTAGGCTGTTTGTCAGTATGCTTTTATTATGTTTTTATCATTGATGTTTTGTGATTTGTTTTTAATGTTGTACACTGCCTGGAGATCTTCTGATACATAAAGTGTATGTGCATGTGTGTGTGTAATAAATATCATCATCATCATATAGTTGCCCACATTGCATTAATCCCCTACAAAGGCCAAAACATATACGTCTTCAGGGGCTTCAAAATGTGAGTGTTGGCAACAGCTGTAATGGTGCAGCCCCAAATAAGACCCTGTATAAGTAATCTACAGGTCATATTCTGCCACAGTTGTTAGAATGATCATTAACATACTGTGAAATCACAGCAGCTCAGCCAATGACTGGAAAGGACATGAAGGATGCCACAAACAGTTGTATACAAATAATTCTTTGCATTGTGGTCTTGGAAGTCTGGCTATTATCTGAGTGGGGCTTTTTATGGTTGTTACTCTTGTCATAGCTGTCAACTTTTCCCTTTTCTTGCAAGGAATCCTATTCGGAATAAGGGAATTTCCCTTTAAAAAAGGGAAACATTGACAGCTATGACCCTTGTGTATGATAAAACTGCAATCATTTCTGCATGGGGAATCCTGTACCTAATAAGGATAGTTTATCAACAGAATTACATTGTTTTTTAAATTGTTTTCAGCTATGTTAACTGAATAAAAGGAAGATTTCTAAATAGACCTTTAATATATTTGACTTTGAAAATTGGAGTGGGGAACACATCTTTCCCACTCAAGAGCCATTTTGAAAAACCACATACATTGTCTTCACAGGTCTATGTCATCAAGCATATACTATTGTCTAAGAAGCCCCACTTCAAATGCCTCATTACAATCAATTCTGTACAAGCCAGTATTTGGACTTAAAATGTAGTTATGACCTGAACGTGTGTTTTGAACTTCATTCTGATATCTCAATGTGCACCTGAGTTATTGCATTATAAGCAAACAAGTGTTGCAACCAAATGGAATGCCAAATGAATGAGTTAAACCAAATGCCTCACTCTGCTTGGCCAGTAATGGGAGTTGTTTTTGACAGATTGATGTAACCAAATTTTAAGACAACCCATTATTTGCAGCGTAAAAGACAGAAGGAGTATGTCCTTTTTTTGTCTTTTGTAATATTTTAGCACTGAGATTACCAGACTTCTTTCTGCTCCTTCCTTTCCTGGTTCCAATCCCCAATGGGGCAGCCCATTTCCCCTTCATGGTCTGTATCTTCCCCCCTTCCTCTTCCTTTATCCCCTCCTTGTTCCTTCTCCTTTGCTCCTGTCCCCTTTTCCTTCTGCTTTCTACTAGGATGGAGAGCAAACACTTCCTGGAAACCTAGTATGGTCCTATTTGCTCCTGATTCCCCCAGTGTAGTTGCCTTGCCAGCAGCCCAGTGTAAAGCCCTTCAGCCGACATAGCTCCAGTATAGATTGTACCCTCAGCTGCAAATAACTGTAAATGTTAATAATTTATGGGGGCATCACCTGAATAGCAGCCAACACAGATGAGGCATATGTGTTGTAAAATTCAAGCTCAATGACCAGTTGTGTAATGTTGGTTCACTGTCATGCTATTTTGAGATTCCTTTGTCACCATCCTATTCATTTATGGGATAACCAACCTTTCAATTATTATGAGTTGCCAGTTAGCTCCTGTCTCAGGTATGGAGCACCTGCTTGCTTCAGTTGGCAGGATTTGTTGTTGACTGAGAGGGAGCGGGTGTTTCAGGGGAATGAATTGCGGTAACATCTGACAGAATATGTTTCTGCAGTAGAGCTCTATTAAATCAGCAAGTTCAGCATCTGGGAACCAGAGCGGGGACCTCTTTTTATCATTTTTCATCTTATCTTATCCAAAATTACACAAGATGGATTCTGTTTAATTTTGTCAGGAACAGAGAGTCTGTTTAATTTTTACCCAGAATGACTGGGCATTTCCTAAGCATATGGGACAAATCTGTTGCAAGAAACTGAATCTGTGGAGATCTGTGGAATCTCCATTAAACTGGTACATCCTTCAATTACATCTTTCCTTTAAAATCACACTATTATGATGATGGTTATTGTTGCTATATTTATTATTCATTTTCTGTTAAGCTAATCAGAAAGTTTGTTTGTGTGATTCCAAGTGTTTATGCATTGTGGGGGTATCAAAATGCTACAGCCCACTCTGCTGTTTCTCTATCTCCACCAGTTTAAATGCAGATAAACTCATGAATGAAGACCATTCAGTGAGTAAAACCATTTGCAAAGTACAAATGCTGTAAAAACAGCTATAGCTTGGACTAGTTCCTTCACCAGTTGGATGAAGAGACAGGCAAAGCCATAATTGCAATGTTCTACTAAACCCCAGCTGTCAGTTTAAAAAGCCGTCCTACTCATCTGACACATATTTACGCAACCTGACTTTGATGCTAGAACAAAGGTGATACAGTGATTCAATTAATAACAAGTGAGAAAATCTTTTTAGTCGTGTAATTTACATTCTATCTGGGTTTCTCTCTCCCCCCCCCCCCACTATATGCCTTGAAGACCTTGCAACAGTTGGCTCGTGGAAAGCAAGAATGATCCAAATACTGTTTTATTCCAAAGTCACATGTGTGTGCGCGCGCGCGCGCGCACACACACACACACACACACACACACAGTATGTGGCGGTGCCTGAGTCAACACATTCCGGCTGAATGTTCAGACAGAATCCCCCAGGAAAAGCTTCCTATTTAACTGGTTATCAGTAAGGATTTACATTCTCCCCTTGCAATAAAAAATACAGGTGGTGAGTACCACAAGGATTGCAACCAAATTTGAGAAGAGGGAAATATCAGCATTCGTTCTCCATAAACACAGTTATTTTTTAAATCGTGGCAACTGACCCATCCCCACCAAAAGCAGCCCAATAAGGACTGAACATGCTTGGTTAGCATGGAATGTAGAGTGATAATAAGAAAGGGATAAAATGGCCTACATACTTGGAGAAAATGGCTGGTTTGAATCCTGAGCTAGAGGCCAGGAGAGAACATACACTGCAAAAAATCTGTTGCTGGAAAGCTTCGAGAACAGATTCTGAAAGTGAATGCCACTAGGAAATGCCACTAGGGGAAATGGCTGTGTGCTAAAAAAAAAATTAAAAGGAAAAGAGCTTGTATGTCCCCTGTGTAACAAACCTTTAATAAAAAGGGTCTAATAATTAACTGGGAAATCGCTACAACTCAAATACTGATTAGGAAACAGTTCAAAGCTCGTGTGTTCCTTAACATCACTGACTTGTTTCTTTAATGGATTTGTAAGTTTCTCTTTCACGGATGCATCTTGCTTGAAAAAAGGGATTCTAAGCTGGGGTAAATGGGCACCATTTTACTTAAGTCAATAAGTACTATTTGCCATTGGCTGAGCATTTGGCTTTGTGAAGTATTTGCTGGGGGGGGGGGGGAGACACAGAGAGAGATAGATGCAGAAACTTAAAGTTACCAGAAGCATTTTCTCTCCAAGCTGGTAGCACACACTTAATCCTTATGGTATGGGGAAGAGGCATAGTACAAGCATCTCCCCACTTATACAGGGGTTACATTCCCGGGGTTACCGCACATTTACGTGAAATTGCATATAGTAACACCATCTAAAAGGCCTGTAAACACCTTATAAACCTCATGGGGTTGCAGTTGCAAAGGCTCCTAGGATTGCTAGCTGTTTTCCCGTCATTTTCGCAGTTTTCCTGCTGTTTCAAGGCCCTTTTTGCACTTTATTTATAGTTTAAATCAGTTTATTTAATTACTACCCGGCGCAGTGTGTGAGTTAAATGCGTGTAAGTGGGGAGACGCCTGTATAGTAACAGAGCAATGTAAAAGTTCCTGGCATCTCCAGGTAGGGCTGAAATCCTGGAGATGGAGGGTAGCGCTTGGGTTTGCATTGTTTGTAAACAGTGCTGAGCTAGCATTAAGCCAATGGTTTGACTCAGTAGCGCAGTGGCAAATTCAAAAGTGCAGAGCCCCTTTTTGATACCCTGTGCTTGCTATCTAGGTTGGCAGGAGCTGGGACAGTGCAATGGGAGCTCACCCCGTTGCAGGGATTTGAACCACCAACCTTCTGATCGGCAAGCTCAAGAGGTTCAGTGGTTTAGACCACCCACATCCCTGCTTCCTATATAAAAAGGTAAAGGTAAAGTCGTGACCGACTCTGAGGTTGCGGCGCTCATCTCGCTTTATTGGCCGAGGGAGCTGGTGTACAGCTTCTGGGTCATGTGGCCAGCATGACTAAGCCGCTTCTGGCAAACCAGAGCAGTTCACAGAAACACTGTTTACCTTCCCACCAGAGCGGTACCTATTTATCTACTTGCACTTTGACATGCTTTTGAACTGCTAGGTTGGCTAGCTGCAATTAACTCCTCTTTCAGGACTAAGGGGCAAAGTTGTGCATGTGTCCATGTTTGTGTTCACATGTGCTGAAGTACACCTGCAGGGCTGAGGCCTCATAGTAGGCATGGGGAATCTGCCTCATCCAGCATGGCTAAGGATCATGGATTACTTGAGTTGTAGTCCAACACCAGGAGGGCAACAAACTCCCCATACCTGACTTGCAGAAGGCCGTAGCTCAGTGGTAGAGCATCAGTCTTGCATGCAGAAGGTCCCAGGTACAATCCCCAGCATCTCCAGTTGGACTGGGAGAAAACGCTGCCTTGAAGAATCACTGCCAGTCAGTGTAGACAGTACTGAGCTAAAAAGAGCATTGGTCTGCCTCGGTGTAAGGCAGATTCCTATTTTCCTGTGCTTTATAACCTTTGAAGAAGGGGCTGTATGGCTCTTTTCCCAGCAGTGAAGAACATTACGGCACAACAAAAGGATCTGTAGTGAAGGATTTGGTATATCATGCTAACTATGATTTCTGAAGTCAGAACTGCTCACCCATATTGAAGCACATCTGTGTGGCTTGTTCTAATTATAACACACTTGTGACAAATATCTCTCTAGCCCAGTACTCAAATCATTGCTGGATGCATAAGTCAGCTGATGTATAAGTCATCTTACTCTTTCCCCCTAAATTTCAGAGGGGAATAAGAGAGGAAATTGCCATACAGGATGGCATCATTCGTTATCTTTAAAAGAAATGCATTCAGGACTTGAGAGCCACAGTGTGAGTGCTGCAGAAAAAGGACATCATTGGCAGAAACAAACAGGAATAATAAACCGGATGATTCTAGACTTCATTTATGACTGCATCTTTGTCAGAGAGCCAAATGAAATGATAGACTCTTTCGCTTCAGTACAGTTGACTACTGCTTTAAATTCAGATACTGGCATACTAGCAAAGCTGAATTTCGATGCTTTGCCAGCAGAGCAGCTTCTGGCTGTGGACTACTTTTGTTTAATAGAGTCACATTTAAATGTTGCATGTCTGCAAATGTGCCTCTCTTTTTTGACAGAGAAAAAATCCATTTGCACAAAAAGAAGCATCTTCACCCAAAGTGGCATCTTCCAGAGACAGGGTGCTTGAATTAATCCGTACAAAAGAAAGCCCATTTCTAAGATGGAAGGAACTCATGCAATTGTTTTGTATGTGGAATAGAAATACAGTAAGCACTCTTGTCATTTGTGAAGGTTGCACACATATGCAAAACTGGGAAGGCCATGGCATCTGCTCTGCATGCAGAAGCTCCCAGGTTCAATCCCTGGTATCTCTGTGTAGAACTGGGAGAGATCCCTGCCCCAAACCCTGGAGAGCTGATGCCAGTCAAGGTAGATTATAGCAAGGCAGATGGATGTGTTCCAGGGTGGGGAATCTTTGGCTCTCCAGATGTTGCTGGACTACAACTCCCCTCAGTCTATTAGCGACGCTGGCTGGGGCCAAAGTTTCCTCATCCCTCAGCTAGTGGTCTGGCTCAGTGTGGGGCAGCTTCCTATGTTCCTATATAGGTCTCTGTGGTGGCAGGGTTAGCTGGGAGAAGCTCTACATGCGAGAGCTCCATGCTTAGTCATGCTGGCCACATGACCCGGAAGCTGTACGCAGGCTCCCTCGGCCAGTAAAGCGAGATGAGCACTGCAACCCCGGAGTCGGCCACGACTGGACCTAATGGTCAGGGGTCCCTTTACCTTTACCTCATTGCTCAGGTGGTGGTGAGTATTCAAAATGGGGCCACGTAAAACAATAGGGAACTATTCCCATGCTTTATAGAACTCCAAGATGTGCAGGACTCCAAGGTGTGAAGATGGAACTCTACCTCACCACCAAAAAAAGCCCAGCCAATTGAAGATTTAGCATGCTCAGCAGCTACACAATGTGGAATGAGAGTTGGAAAAGAAGAATGGAACACTAGAAAGGGAAGAGGAGTGGAATGGAATGTTCCAACAGGAGGGAATGACCAAGTAGACCCTGAATAGGTAGAAGTGCAACATTTTATTGTAGGTTCCACATATAATAAGTGTCATCTGCCTTATGGGGTTGTTCTACAGGTTACTGAGGTGATGCATCTATTTATCTATTTACGGTATTTATCACATTTATATCCCACCTTTCTTCCAGGCAGACCAAGGGGGCACATATGGTTCCCTACCTACCTATTTAATCCTCATAACAACCCTGTGAGGTAGGTCACCCTGGATCTTTATATAAAGTACTTTGAATAATCTAAGATACTAAAAAATGGCAATTGTTTTTGTTATGGTGGCTCCCCACTTGTGGAATGCTCTCCCCAAGGAAGCTCGCCTGGCGCCTTCGTTGCATATCTTTAGGCGCCAAGCAAAAACATCCCTCTTCTCCCAGGCCTTTGGTTAATTCAACAATCTATGGCCGTTTAAACTGTGTGTGGGAAGGTATTGTTTGTTACTATGGTATGTAATTTGGTGTTTTTATATTGTAAACCACCCTGTGATTCTTGGATGAAGGGCTGTTTAGAAATTAAATGTGGCTAATTGAGTTGTAGATGATGGGATTTCTTATCATATTTCTTCCCTTTTAAATACTCTGGACAAGTTAATCTTGCGATTTTTATTGACAGCCAAGACATTCTTCTCACATATCTATATCTATATCTATATCTATATCTATATCTATATCTATATCTATCTATTGTTGTTGTTTAGTTGTTTAGTCGTGTCCAACTCTTCGTGACCCCATGGACCAGAGCACGCCAGGCACTCCTGTCTTCCACTGCCTCCCACAGTTTATATCTATATCTATATCTATATCTATATCTATATCTATATCTATATCTATATCTATATCTATATCATCTATCTATATATCTTTGTCTATCTAGCTGTCTATTGGTGTATATATCAACTGTGACAGCATGGGGGTGCCTAAGTTCTCCTCAGTGCAATCCTATGCATGTATAGGATTAGCAGGTAGCACAGTGTTCAGTGCAATTTACTCACAGGTAAATGTGCATAGGATCACAGCCTAAAATCCACAGTTCTTCAAAATGTCAGCCCTGCAAAAAAATGTATTAGGCTGCATTCCAACACAGAAGGGGTTGGGAACCCTTTTCACCCCAAGGGTCATATTCTAGAAACCAGATGCAAGGCCAGAAGCAAAATTGTGTAGAGCAACAAATGTTAATTTATTCACATATTCCTCTCTATTCTCCATCCAGACAATCAAGAAACATTATCAGAGTTCAAGGGCCCTTTTTAGCCTGGTTATGGGTTGTAATCGTAATCCAGTGCTAGGCTACTCAAAGTAGACACACTGGAATTCATGGACATGACTAACTTCAGTCTGTAAATTTCAGCGGGTCTACTCTGAGTAGAATGTAGGTAGATAACAACCCTAACGTTTTGATACAGTTTGGCACATGATTTCTAAAAGTCACAATGGCTGCATATAATTTACAGCAAAGGGATACTGTTTTGTTATCAGTTGTTATCTATAGATGGCGCCAAATATCCATTAGAGAAATTACATCCTTTTTTATAATGGTGCTGAAAATATCAAATGGAGTGTGTAGTACGCATTAAGTCCACTGCATTACCGTTCAGATCTAAGGTGCAGTTATATGTATCAGAAATACCACAGTTACCATAAATCTTCTGAAGCCGTATTCCCCTTTGCAGCATGTTGTTTGTTCTACATTATCTACTTAATGTCTCCTTATATACTATTACACTATATAATGTATTTGTGCTGGCATCTTCCCAAATACAAAGTGTTGCTTGCTGTTATTCCCCCCACCCACCCAGAACAACTGCTGAGAGGCCAACTAGACTACAAGGTATTTTCTCCCTCTAGTTTCCTCTTATGTTCCTTTGAGCTCACCTCCCCCAACCTCGTGGCCTCCTGATGTTTTTGAACAACTACTTCCCTCTTCCCTGACCACCAGTGGTCATACTGGCTGGGACTGGTGGGAGCTGGGGGGCCACCTGGAGGGCACCAGAGCAGAGAAGGCTGCTTCTGGGCTACTCACTTCCCCAGCCCCTTTTCCTAGGCTGTCCTCCACCCCACCCCGCCTTCGCTTTCTCTAACCATCTCAGTACCCTGCCTCTCTACCTCCTAAACCTTGCTGTCCCCTCTTGGGATCTGAGGCCCTCAGTTTGTGGCAGCCAGAGGCCTACCTGCCTCCTTTTCTCCACTGTGACATTGGTTTAACTCGGCCAATCTGCAATCCGTAGTGGAGAGCTTGCCAGCCTGTGGCCACATTTGCGTACAGGAGAAACTGTTGCAGGCACCACACATGCACCTCAACCAAGCACATGCCACAAAATATTCTATTGGGCATATCTAATTTCGTGAGGGGGAGAATGCATCCTTGAACTCTGATCATGACTCTTGCTTGCCTGGATGCAAGATAGAGAGGGGTGTATGAGTACCTGTAGCAACTAGCCTAAGATACATAGGTAAAAATTATATTTGTGGCTCTTCTACTTTTGACTCTGGCCCCATCCACCATTGACATGTGGCCCTCAGAAGTTTGCCCAGAAGGAAATGCAGCCCTCAGGAATCAGGATGGTTTCCCAACCCCTTTGTAGAGCTTTCTGCAGTGGTTGTTCTCCCTAGTCCCCATCCCCCCCCCCAAAAAAAAGAACTGCTCATGCTCAAAATGATATCAGAAATAGCAATATTTTCTTTTTTAAAAACCCACTGGAGAATGAGATATCTTTTTGTTTCTCCAGTTAAGCACCCGTGTTCCGTACGTGTATGTTTGGTAAAGGAGAGGGGGTTGTGGCTTTTTGTTCCCCTCAGAAAATGCCAATGAGTCCCGCCATTAACCTACACACAGTTGGATGGCGCTGCCATGCATTTGCTGTGTCTCGTATTCAGTCTGTCTTCCAGTTTCCCCACAGAGCCATAGCTATTATTCATTACGGTTGTAATGCCAGTCAAACTGAGCCTATATATTCCTGCTCCTTCCTCTGGAGAGACATAGCAGCATTTATCTCATCATCAAGGCTATTGCTTTTGGAAACTCACTAGACAATAGTCATTAATTTGCAGCCCTTATCTAAAACAATTTAACTGGATTTATTGGGATGGATTATTTAAATATCAGAAAAGATCTAAATGGCTGAGTCAATGACAGTTGGGCAGTGCCACTGATATATTTTCCTGGAATAAATTGTCCATTGATGCTTAGGATGGCTGTGCGTATCAGATATCAGAAGCCATTTGATTCTCGTATCATTCAGCGCTCTGGTGGTTTTGTTTGACCTGCAGCTGCAC